AAGGTGTCCCTGCCCATGGCAGGGGGGTGGAATGAGGTGTTCCTTAAGGTTCTTTCCAACCTAAACCATTCAGTGATTCTGTGGTCTGAAACTCCAGAAAGATGTTTTGGTTTAGTGGGGAAAAGAAGGACAATCTTTGTAAAACCGTCACATTTCTGAAGAAACTGTTCCTCCGTGTGTGGAACAAGTATGTAGTAAGTGTCCTGGTTCTGGTCAGGATGGGGTTAAGTTTTGCAGTAGCCGAGAGGGTGTGTGGCTAGAACATTCTGGTGTGGGGGTAAGGGATTCGCTCTGTAGGGCAGCTAAGTTGCTCACCTCTTTCTTGAGCACTCTGTCATCAGTAGTGTTTTATTTCTGTTTCTGGTAAATTGTTCTTATCTCAGTCCACGATGCTCACCTTTTGTGCCTCCAGTTCTCCTCTCCAGCCCACTGCAAGGAGATGGGGAGAGGGAGGGGGGCAACAAGTGAGTGCCTCGTGGTTTGGAGAGTCGTGGTGTGAGCACTGACTTGGGAAGTACCATTCCTAAACCACCACCCAAGGAAGTCATCCTGGTGTCCTGTAAAAGACATTGAGTCGCACCCTGGCTGCTAAAACCCCGCGCCCGCGAGTTGGCCATGTCCTTTCTGAGCCCTTCCCTTGCCTCCCTGTGCGTGCAGAACGCCCAGCAGGTGCATTTCCGTACCCACCTGGAGGACAAGCCCTACGTGTGCCACTTCTGCAGCCGCGGGTTCCGGGAGAAGGGCTCCCTGGTGCGCCACATCCGCCACCACACCGGCGAGAAGCCCTTCAAGTGCTACAAGTGCGGGCGCGGCTTCGCCGAGCACGGCACCCTCAACAGGCACCTCAAAACCAAAGGTGAGCACAGCACCCTCAACAGGCACCTCAAAACCAAAGGTGAGCACGGCACCCTCAACAGGCACCTCAAAACCAAAGGTGAGCAGGGCACCCTCAACAGGCACCTCAAAACCAAAGGTGAGCAGGGCACCCTCAACAGGCACCTCAAAACCAAAGGTGAGCACAGCACCCTCAACAGGCACCTCAAAACCAAAGGTGAGCAGGGCACCCTCAACAGCACCTCAAAACTAAAGGTGAGCAGGGCACCCTCAACAGCACCTCAAAACCAAAGGTGAGCAGGGCACCCTCAACAGGCACCTCAATACCAAAGGTGAGCACGGCACCCTCAACAGGCACCTCAATACCAAAGGTGAGCAGGGCTGCCCTGGGGGGAGCCTGCTCTGGGCTTGCATTTGTTACTGGAGCTCTCTGTGCTTGTCCATTTGCCTTCAGTGGAGTTCTTGCTGCTTCCCATGTTCTGCTGAGCTGAGACCATTGAGCTCCCCAGCATTTGGGGTGGAAAGTTCTGGGATAGGAGCAGCTGTGTGCTGTAGAAAGCTGAACATGTTTTTCAGCCTGTCACACAGTGCTGGTTTTAATATGGTTGCTTTGATTCTTGTCATTTCCAGGGCAGGCTGGCCCTGGGCTGGCTGGGAATGGCGGTGAGGGTGGATCTCAGCAACTGACAGAACCAAAGCTGCATCAAGGGAAATATAGGTTGGATACCAGGAAAAAGTTTTCTACAGAAAGGGTGATAAATTTCTGGAATGACCTGCCCGGGGAGGTGATGGAGTCACCATCCCTGGATGTGTTTAAAAAAAGCCTGGATGTGGCAGTGGGTGCCAGGGTTTAGCTGAGATGTTAGGGCTAGGTTGGACTTGATGATTTTTAAGGTTTCTTCCAACCCAGTGATTCTGTGAATTCTGTGGATCTAATGGCCCCATGGAAATGGGCATGTGGGAAGGAAATGTCTGGGTAAACTTCTCAGCAATAATCTGGTTTGGTGGGATTAGTTGCACTGAGCTTGCTGCTCCTTTAGCTCCTAAGCAGGGATTTCCAGACTTCTTCAGCTAGTGCTGATGGTGTTATTCCAAAGGAATAATACAAGTTTACTGGAGGAGAAAATGGGCTTTTGTAGGAGATACTGAGATGTATCAGCAGAAAAGATCAATGATTTAAAATATACCCAAATTATTCTTGTATGTTCTTCACACATGGCTTGGAAACCCTGAGTGGTTTTACCATCTGAATTTACCCGTGTGGTGTTTGGAATTGCACTGAAGAGCTCCTCTGCTCCTGGTGTCACATGGACTCTTCTGGGCTGTTCCTTGGCTTGTCCTGGTGGGCCAAGAGCCCCTCAGGTGGCACTGGTCACTCGTCCATGGCATCCCCTTGCTGGTGCTGCTGGGGATGGTCACAAAAAATGATGTTTCTCTGGAATTCCATGCAGGTGGCTGCCTCCTTGCTATGAAAGATGTGGAAGAAGTGATAGTGTCAGAGGAGAGCCAGTCTGCTGACAACTTGGCAGCCACGGTCCTTTCAGAAGATCCACACACGGTTCTGGTGGAGTTTTCCTCGGTGGTGGCAGACACCCAGGAATACATCATCGAGGTGAGCAGGGGCAGCCAGCCTGCTCACTGGGAGCTTAGCACGGGGTTTGCTCAGGAAAAACTCTGCAGTTGCTCATGTTCCTGCTCCAGGCTTTTGGGAGAAGGTCAAACAGGCTCTGCCCTGCCTGCGTGGCCCAGGAGTCAGCGGGATGAGCCCTGTTTGGAAGGAAAGCACTTGGAGCTTCCCCACCCTCCCAAAGTGCTGTGTGCCCCAGGAACAGGAGAAGGGGACACTAACAGTGGTTCAGCAGAAGGCTGAGCCTGAGAACTTCTCACCACGCCAGATTTTAGGTCCTCACAAGTTTGCTTCAGCTCTCCCTCCTATTTTCTCCCATTTCTATTTATCTTACTTCGTCCCAGATAATCTCTGTTGTTTCAAACAGAAGCTGCCAAAAGCAATGAATTCTGTATTTCGCTTTCTGCCCTCTGTCACACAGAGCCAGTTCTCATCCCAGCAGGGTAACACAGCTCACTTATTGAGTGCTGCTGTAGTTCTTCTCCAGTAGGAGAAAAATCTGCTGTGTGGCCAAATCCTGCTGAGGGAGGACATTCTCTTTCAGTTACTTGTGAACATTGTGCATTCATTTTAAGTAGTTCCTGATAATGGGATTGGGAGGGAATGTCAAGGAGTTGTTTTTGGAGTAGCTACTGCATGTGGAGCAGAAAGACTCGTGTAAAAGACCTTAGTGAATTATATCTTGGCGATAAAATTCTTTTTATAAGAACCTAGAAAGGGAATCATCTTATTTTGTCTTCCAGACTTCTACTGAAGACATGGAGACCAGCGAAGCCACTGAAATAATAGAGGGAACAAGACACGAGGTAAAGCAGTCCCTCAGTGACAGGAGGGGTGACACAGTGCGGGGTCTGTTCCTGGGGTGAGGAGCTGCTCCTGTCGCTGCCCAGTGCAGCGATGCCTGTCCCAGCTCCCCCAGTAAACACCAGCAGCAGCATCAGCGCGGCCCCTGTCCCCCCGCAGGTCGACAGCCACATCATGAAGGTGGTGCAGCAGATCGTCAACCAGGCCAACTCGGGCCACCAGATCATCGTGCAGAACGTCACCGTGGCCGAGGGCGCTGCGGCCGCCGAGGCCGCCGACACCATCACCATCGCCACGCCCGAGAGCCTCACCGAGCAGGTGGCCATGACCCTGGCCTCGGCCATCGGCGACGGCGCCGTGCTGGCCACCGACGGCGGCCTGGCCGCGCAGGAGGCCACCGTCACCATGGTGGCCTCCGAGGACATCGAGATCATGGAGCACGCCGGCGAGTTCGTCATCGCCGCCGGGCAGGAGGGCGAGGTGGAGGTGCAGACGGTGATCGTGTGAGCCAGGGGCAGCCTGGGCACTGCTCAGGGGGCCGGGGGAGCCTCCATGGGACAGGGCAGGGACGAAAGGGGACAGTGCTGGCCTGAAATGGGACGGTGCTGGCCTGAAATGGGACAGTGCTGGCCTAAAATGGGACAGTGCTGGCCTAAAATGGGATAATGCAGGCCTAAAATGGGATAATGCAGGCCTAAAATGGGACAGTGCTGGCCTAAAATGGGATAATGCAGGCCTAAAATGGGACAGCGCAGGCCTAAAATGGGATAGTGCTGGCCTAAAATGGGATAATGCAGGCCTAAAATGGGATAATGCAGGCCTAAAATGGGACAGTGCTGGCCTAAAACGGGACAGAGCTGGCCTAAAATGGGACAGTGCTGGCCTAAAATGGGACAGTGCTGGCCTAAAATGGGATAATGCAGGCCTATAGTGCTGGCCTAAAATGGGATAATGCAGGCCTAAAATGGGATAATGCAGGCCTGAAATGGGACAGTGCTGGCCTAAAATGGGACAGTGCTGGCCTGAAATGGGATAATGCAGGCCTAAAATGGGACAGTGCTGGCCTGAAATGGGACAGTGCTGGCCTAAAATGGGATAATGCAGGCCTAAAATGGGATAATGCAGGCCTAAAATGGGATAGGACAGGTCTAAAACAGAATCGTGCAGGTGTAAAATGGGATAGGACAGGTCTAAAACAGGATAGAACAGGTCTAAAACGGGATAGGACAGGGCAGGCCCGAGGTGTTCTCAGTCTAAACCAATGCCAGGAGTTAAACCCTTGGCCTGGTGGCACTGAGGAGACTGACAGGTCACCCATGGCACTCAGTATTCTGTACAGCAGCCTCCAATTAAGGAAGATCCTTTGGGAATCAGCCCCCTGTGCCCACCGCTGGGCCAGCAGTGGTCTGGTCTTTAAAAGGATTCAGAAAGTATAGCAAATATGTGGGGTCTCACGAGGGATTATTTAAATATATGCATTTAAAACAAGTTGAGAAAACCAAACCTAAGGAGTTGTGGTGTGTGTTGAGCACCACTGAAACACTCTCATGCCTTTAACCTCACTCCTTCAGGCCTCCCAAGGCATGGTACTACAGTATTTCTCTTTTCTTTGGTATCCTGGACAAGTAGCCTTATGTACTGGTCTATGAATGCATCATTGTACCCTGCAATGCCAGCCAGGCTGCTCTGAGAGCCAGCCTGGGGGCTGGAAAGCCATATTGTATAGGAATTTGGGTTTTTTAAACCATATATGGATTTTTAATTGCATATTGTACAGATCTGGCATGTAAATAAAATACATTTGTAAAAATAAAATTATTTAAAGTTCTTACTACATTTTTTCCCAATTTTTTTTCTATTATACTCAAACAGAGAAACTTCTGGAAGGAGAGGAGAACAGGGACACTTTAATTTCCTCCCTGAAGTTAGTGCTTCAAAGCTGCAGTAGGACATGGTTTCTGCAGGTAAGATCCTGCCAGAAATCATTTTTTCAGCTAAATACACACAACCTGTTGTAGTCATCGTTAACAATCATGGGTTAGTTGTTTCCCAAAGAAAGATAGAAAAAGATGCTGCTTCCTCAAAATTCACAGGAGCTCTGTGTTAGCCCTTCCCATAGAGAAAAATTCCTTTTGGGAAGATGGACCAAATAAATCCCTGTACTCAGGGGCCAGGACTGAGTTGGCCCTGAGTCTCACTGAGGGAGGGAGCTCAAATGATGCTCTGCTGAGGCACCAACATGTGAATTCTGCAGAAATCTTGTTCCAAAACCTCTCTGGGGCAGCCAAGCCCACTGCTGAACTAAAGTCTTGGAAAACATTTAAAAATGCTTAGAGAAACAATAATATCTTCATGTTTTCTTCTTCCTTTCCAACACGGCAGGAGGGTTAAAGATTTCCTTTAAATTCCTCCAGATCCCTTTAGAATAAATGTTTTTGTAGACGAGGGGTCTGTCATGAGGCTGTGAGGGGAGATGGGGGGAACCCCCAAATCTTCGGGATTTGCACCATTCGTGGGTGGTTTGGTTGGTGAGGGCCAAGTACAGACTGAAGGAGCAATATCCCCCCAGGACGAGCGTGAGCAGGATGACAAACCCCAGCATGAAGACAATCCTGGGGAAAGTCAAGAAAAGGTGCTGCAGAGAAAGAGAGAAGTAAGTTAAAAGGTGGGAGGGTTGGATCCTGGGGCAGTGCACAGCCCCGGCTGGAATGCACATCCAGTGGAGCTGTATCTGCGTTCCAGGGTGGTGTGTCCTGCTCTGACACCTCCACAAAGGTGCCTCAGGCACTCTCAGCTCTTTCATAAACTTTACTACATCAGCTAGTCACCGGATGGAAATTCCCTCTCTGTGAGCCACATCTGCCGAGTGACAGATCCCGGAGATGGGAATCTGGAGGATGGGAAGTGCTGTGAGAAAAACCCCCCACTTCTAAAGTATTCAGCAGGGGCAGTTTTCTAAATCTAGTTATGTGTATAAAACAGATAAAACCCCGCAGTCTGCCCCAAAACCCTGCACAAAACCCTGCAGTCTGCCCCAAAACCCTGCAGTCTGCCCCAAAACCCTACAGTCTGTCCCAGAACCCTACAGTCTGTCCCAGAACCCTACAGTCTGTCCCAGAACCCTACAGTCTGCCCCAAAACCCACCGTCTGTCCCAAAACCCTGTACTCTGCCCCAAAACCCTGTACTCTGCCCCAAAACCCTGCACAAAACCCTGCACTCTGCCCCAAAACCCTGTACTCTGCCCCAAAACCCTGCACACTGCCCCAAAACCCTGCACACTGCCCCAAAACCCTGGACTCTGCCCCAAAACCCACCATCTGTCCCCATGCAGGGGAGCAGGACGTGGTTCCTGACTGCAGAGTGCGAGCCAGGACATTTCCCAGCGCGGACCCACCTGGACGAGGACGGGAATCTCCACGGGCTGCTCCTGTCCCTGGGCATCCAGGTAGGTGCCGTGCAGGAGGTTGGAGAGCAGCAGCAGCTGGAGCAGCAGTGCAGCCGTGACAGCGGCCACAGCCCCGGCCGTGGCCGTCAGGGACAGCAGGTAGAGCAGGAACACGCCGGCGTTGGCGGCCCCGATGCAGTTGTTGACCCACACGCAGTGGTGGTCGAAGCGATGCACGCACGTCCTGCACACACCTGCAGGAGGCAGGGGCAAAACAAGTGTCTTGGCATTTCCTTTTTAAGTAAGCAGTTTGATCTTTATGTGTTTTTTTTTAAGCTGAAAGTATGTGGGAGTTGAAGTCAGGGTTTAGCTGGCAGCTTTTGAAGCAAATAAATTCAATTGTGTATCCTAAGAAAAGCAACATATTCCATTTCCTCTTTTATTCACCAAGGTTGCAGCTCCCAGACTTTGTTTTCTCTGACAGTACTGCCTGGCAAAGCACCTGAAAGGCAGAGATTGTAGCTCCCACCTTTATTTTAGATGATAAAAAGAGGTGATGGACTTCTCATCCCTGGCAGTGTTCCAGGTCAGGGCTTGGAGTACCCTGGGCTAGTGGAAGGTGTCCCTGCCCCTGGCAGGGGCTGACATGAGATGGGCTTCAAAGATCCCCCCCAGCCCAAACCATTACAGGATTCTGTGACTATGAAAGAGAAAATCCTGATCTGAGGTCCTGGCAGGTGATAATTTCTGTTATCAGCTGTTCCTGACCCTGAATTGTCCCTCAGAACTGGTAATTTCTGTGAGAAGAAACAGCGCCCAACCAGCTCCACGGCTGGGCACAGGCAGCTGTGACCTGGGACCCCAGGAGACAAACACAGCCCTGTGAGCACTGAGCTGGTAACAGAACAGTTCTCCTGGGGGAGAGTTCCTTTGGGAAGGTCTTACTGCCATGGTTATCAAGGAATTTCAGATCCTTACTGCAGTGCTTGGACCTGGCTGGTTTCTCCACGCTGCACGTGGGACACACGAGACCTTTCTGAAACATCACCCCATCATAGGCATAAACCTTCACCAGCGATGCAGCGTTGGATTTTGTTACTGTACCTGCCACAGAGACAAGAAAAAGAACTAAAAAATGGGATTTGTAGCAATTTTTCCCTGTTTTCAAAGAGCACGGGCGGGATCTTACCAGGGTTGGCCCGGGAGCAGAGCAGGAAGCAGCCCAGGTTCCCTGCCAGCAGCAGGTAGGGCAGCAGCAGCAGGAGGAGGTGGAACTGCAGCTCCCAGCAGTACCCAAACACTTCCCAGGTGTATTCCCCAAACACCGCTGCCTGCAGGGCTACGTGCAGGACCACAAACAAACAGCTCCTGGGAAGGAAAGGGGACGGTCTGTTTAATACTCAGCATCCTGATTAACAGGTCAAGTACACTCAGAGGTGATCAAAGACTTTCCAAATGCAAGGAGACGCCTCTTTTAGGTTTTCAGGCCAGCTTGGATTGCATATTAATAGTGTTTTCTCCATCCACTGGCTTCTCCTTCTCTTCTCCCCACATACACTCCTTTAAAGATGTCAGCTAAATTCCCTGCTTTATTCACATGTACTTTGGATTTTTTTCCCTGTCAGTACAAAGTCCTATAATCGCTTGCTGCTGACAGAATATGCCACAGCAATAGGCCACACAACATCCTGCTCTGAAAGCAAAGAAAAAGCCCCCAAAATAATCTTTAAAACTCTGCAATAATATAACCAGCTGTCAGGAAATCAGGGTGGCAGGAGGTGGGCAGTGAGCACCAGTTCCAGGGTCTGTGCAGAATCCCGGTGCCCCCAGCACCTCTGACAGGGTCACCTCTGTGTCTCAGGCTGTGTTTGAGCAGAGGATCAGCAGAACAGGCACAAAACCACCCCAGCACTCACAGCAGCTGCAGATTCAGCCCTGGAGTGGCTGTCACAGCGAGCTGCTGTCCCCAGAGAAAAGGTATTTAAATCATTCCTGAGGCACCAGAGTTTACAGACACACAAATTCCCCCCGAATCCAGCAGGCTGCTGTGCAGCTGCCCCCTCAGCCACCTGCACACCCAGGCTGCTGGACTGAGACTAATGGGATTTGAGGGAGGGGATGGAGACTCAGAGTCTGTCTGACTCCGTCTGCAGCTGCCAGAGAGGCTGTGCTCATTCCTGTGGGGATGCAGATCCCACCAGTGTGACCAACATCTGTCACTGAGCCACATCGTCCTCGTTTGTCAATATGTTCAAACATTTCAGGGTACCACCCTCTAAACACGGAGCGAGGAAGGGAGAGACAGCAGCGTGGCAAGGGAACCTGTAATCCCTGCCACGCATCCCAAATGGAGGCAGAATATCGAAGGATAATGCTGAGAGCTCTGCCGGTGGCAGGAGATCCCAGAAATAAGAGTAAAACTAATGCCAAAGGCACAGAAGTGCAATACCTTGTGTGGAAGAGCCTGTGCAGTGCCCGGTGTGTCACCCTCCGGAGCTGGCTGGGGATCACCAGTGACAAGACCTGAGGAAAAGAAGCTCAGTGTCACCTGGCCATCCCTGCTGCCTTGGGCAAGCCCAGATTGAAGCACAAATCCCTCGTCCCTCAGCTCTGGACATGCACAGCCACAGCTCTGGGGAGGAGGCTCCTTTTCAGGAGCTTCTCACCACAGAACCAAAGGTGGAAGAGACCTTCAAGATCACCAAGTCCAGCCATAACACAGAGTCACAGGAGGCTGGACAAGCCCTTCAACGTCCTCGAGTGCCAGCTGTGCCCAATCCCCACCTTGTCCCCAGCCCAGAGCTCTGAGTGCCACATCCCCTCCTTCCTTTGGGGACTCCAAACCTCCCTGGGCACCTCCCATGCCTGACCCCCTTTCCATGGAGAAGGGAGAGAGGCAGGAATGCTGCTGGGGTTTTCCAGGTGGGACTGAGGTTCCATAGCCCTGGGAGCCTCCCAGGCCCAAACAAACACATCTGGGTCAATGTGTGAAAGTTCTAAGGAGCTCAGGGTGGGTGTAGGGATAGAACTGAGCAATTCCCCAGCTCCAATGTGCTCCATCAGCCCATCTGGCACACCAAGGGCAGAGAGCAAAGGGATAAAGCTTGTGGCCTCCAGAAAAGAGAGGAGAAAAGCCCCAGGAGCCAGCCAAAGGCCCAGAGATGCAGTTCCTACAGAAAAGAGAGGGGGAAAGCCCCAGGAGGCAGCCAAAGGCCCAGAGATGCAGTTCCTGCAGAAAAGAGAGGGGAAAAACCCCAGGAGCCAGCCAAAGGCCCAGAGATGCAGTTCCTGCAGCTGCAGCCCCGTGGCTCTGTGTCCTGCTGCCCTTCCCAGCCCGGCTGGCTGTGCTGGAGGAGTGAACCCCAGCCAGGGAGCCCCAGTGCCATTGTCTGCTGCAGATCTCTATAGCAACGCAGAATTAGAGCAGCTGAGCCTATTTCCAGCTGACACACAGGGAAAATATGCAGCGAGAGCTTCTTGCCTCGGATGTGCAAGAGCAGCAGCAAAAAGCAGATGTGGAGCTGAGAAGACGCTGAATATTTTGGTGTGAGCTGGTGCGTCCCAGCTCGGCGGTTCCGGGGACGAGTGTTGGCAAAAATAAGGTTTTTTCCCAAGTGTGCTGAAAGAGGAAACACAGCCCAGCAGAAAAGAACCTGCAGGAAACCTCAAGGCAAAGGCCAAGTGCCCTCAGCTGCTCCTCCAGGCCCTCCACCACCCTCGTGTCCATCCTCTGGGCGCTCTCAAAGAGCTTCAGACCCTTCTGGTATCCTGGGGTTTGCATTGTGCTGGTCCTTAACTTATAATAATTTATCTTATGTTGTGACCTTACATTTAATACTGCCTGTATTTATATCCCAGGTAAAATATTGATTATATTCACAAGTATTTATTTCCCAGGCGCAAGTATTGATCAGATTCCTCCAGACAGTGGCTTCATACCAAAGCAGTAATTTAATTGCGGCTGTTTAAACACTTCACAGCAGCAGCTTTTAAAATATGGGGCAAAAAAAAAAATCAATTTTTCTGCACAGTGTGTCTGTAAACCAAAAAGAAGTATAATACCAGTAATAAAAAAAGTCTGTCTGAACTGCTGTGAACAGCATTAAATTTAATTTACAATTTAAGTGATAATTCTCTCATACTTTACCTTGCAGGAGTATTACAGCATTTTTTTTTTTTTCTTTTCATTCAGATACAGCCCAACAGACAGAAAAATGAACTGGTGCTTTCCCAATTCCCCGTTTTTACAATAAAATGCCAATTCTTAATCCTCCTTTAAAGCTCTTCATTCCTGCTTCTTTCTTAGTGAACGAGAGCCTGCAGCATTAGTACACACATTAAAGAGCTTTCCCTCAAATATCTGCCACCACTTGTGATTCTCTCCCAGTTTTAATCCTCAAACCTCCCCCACCTTTTTGCTGTTGATGACAGCAGCAATACCACAAAACTGCAAATTCCTGGGGGCTGATTCTTATTAATTTTTTCACAGCTGTGTTGTGGTGTTAGTGAAGAAGGCACTTCTGGCCTGGTGAGAAGCTCCATCCTCACCCCAGACAGGCACAGGCAGGGATGGGAGCTGGGAAAATGATTTTTTCTACCTGCTTGGGCAAGATTTAACCATCTCAAGGGAAGTTTTTTCTGCTTCCTAGCTCACTTCCTTGAGAGCAGACGTTAAAACAGGAAGAAATGTATTATCACTCTGACCACACACACTGATTTTTTTTTTTTTTTTCTCAAGAACAACTCTAGCAGTTGCACTAATTTTAGCGGAACAAAGCAGGGCAGATTACCAGAACGGGAGCGGATCATTCCCTTGAAGCTCATTCTCTGCCTGAAGCCCAGCCCAGCGCTTTACCTGGCTCGCCCTGTTGGCACTCCTTGCGAGGAAACCCTCCTCCCTTCCCGAGCAGAGGCACAGCAGGGCAGCGAGGGCGAGCAGGGAGCACAGGTAAATCAGGAAGAGCGTCAGGAATTCCATCCCGAGCCTGCAATGGAAGAGGAGCAGCTGTTGGGTGCCCGTCCTGCAGCATTCCCTGAGCCCGGGGATGGAGCTTTGTGTATCTCTGTGGGGGCAGAAACACAGAATCCCCAAATCCTTCAGGCTGGAAAAAACCTCCCAGCCCATCCCAGCTGTGCCTGTCCCCATCCCAGAGCTCCGGGTGCCACCTCCAGGAATTCCTTGGACACTCCAGGATGGGCACTGCAAACCTCCCTGGGCAGTTCCTGAGCCCCTTTCCATGGAGAAATTCCTCCTGATGGCCAAGCTGAGCTTCCCCTGCTGCAGCTTTGGGCTGTTCCCTCTGCTCCTGTCCCTGTCCCTGGAGCAGATCCCAGATCCCCCCGGCTGTCCCCTCCTGGCAGGAGCTGTGCAGAGCCACAAGGTGCCCCCCGATCCCCCTTTTCTCCAGGCTGAGCCCCTCCCCAGCTCCCCCAGCCCCTTCCCCAGCCCAGCCCTTCCCTGCCACGCTCCAGCCCCGGGCTCGGGGGGTCCCCGGGGCCGCTCCGGAGCCGCCGCGGTGCTGCGGAAGCGGCGCCGCTGCTGCTCCCGGCGCTTCCAGCGCCCTCCGGTGCCCCGGCGGGGAACGGGGCCGAGCACGTCCCCGTGAAGCCGTGACAGCATCCGTGAGCCCGATCAGCCGATGAAGCGGCCCCGCAGCCCGGGCAGCCCGTGCGGGCCCCGCGGGGCTGATGCTGCACCCGCCGGTCCCCGCAGCATCTCCAGCAGCTCCTGCGCTCCTGGGGCTTTGCTGAAGTCTCTAAAGCAAAGCTCCTGTTCCTGCCCAGAGCTGTGGGCGCACTCCCGGTTATCCCCGTTACACTCGCGGTATCGCGGACCCTCCTGTCCCCCCCTGCCCCGGTGCGGGCTGAGCCCGACCCTCCGTCCCTCTGACAACTGAAACCGCCGCGGCCGATCGGGTTTCTCCGCCTGGAACTTGCCAGAGAAACTCGTCCGGTGGCGGCGGCACCGTGCAGAGGCTCCCGCAGCGCTGGGATGGTTCTCCCAGCCCCGGGTCCCGCCGTGCCGCTGCTGGAGCCCGCACAGCGCAGGTAAGCCTCAGGGATGCTCCAGGGGTCACAGCCAAAGAGGAGAGGAATCGCCTCGCTGGGAGGCAGGAGAGGAGCTCCAGTTTCAGGAAGAGTCTCTTTTTTCCCTCGGTAAACCCAGTGCACCAAACAGGACGTGAGAGGGAGAGGGAGAAATGCAGCAAAATATTCCCGGGGCACAGCTGTCTTGGAGGGCAGCCCAAGCCACTTGGGTCCTGCTGGAGGATGGAGGGGAAAAAGCCATTTCCCCCCATCCTACTGAGACAGCAGAACTTCTGCAGGTGCAGAAATAGCTTGGCTTGGGTCACTGGATGTCACCTGGTGAGCTGCGTGGCACAGAAGGGGCTGGGGTGGGCACAGGGGGGTTTGTTTGTGGGGGACAGGTAGGGTGTGTGTGTGCCACAGTCCCTGGGCACAGCCAGGAGCTGCAGAGAGGGCACCACACCGGGCCTGGCACCAGCACTGCAGGGAGCTGGCCCACCCTCGGTGCCCTCACAGGCTGTGCCCAAGGACAAGCTGGCAGCAAATACCTGGACAGAGGCTGAGACTCGGAGGGATGAAGCACATTCAGTCCAAGCACTGTGAAAATCACTTAGAAAATCTCATCTGGCCAAAATCTGGCAGAAGGTCTTAATGGAAGCCACATCCATTCACGTGGGATCCCAGAGCTCAGCTCTTTCAAGGATTAAAATTCACCGTCAGTGTTTAAAGTGCCCAAGTCTGTTAAAAATGGAGGGAAAAGAAGCAATTACTTCACTGGCTGAACAGCAACAAAAAATGGGAAATAATTGCAGTTTTGAGCATTTAGGCAGGGAATAGTAACAGAGATGCATGAGTTTGTAGGAGCTGTGTGTGCCCGTGGCAGCACAGGAGCACAGATGCCCCAAGGCCCCAGGAGTGCTGCTCAGAAGGAGATTTGTGCAGGAGAACCCACCAGAGAGGAGCTGCGGAGGACAGGAGGAGCAGCAAGAGGAGGCAGAAGTGGGTTTCAACCCCCTGAAGCTGTGGCATGACCACAGAGGTCCCGAGCGGGAGGAAGACCCCGCAGCTCTCCTTGCTGAGGCCGTGCCCAGCCCCGTGCCAGCTGTGCCAGCTGTGCCGGGGAGGTTTTCCCACCCTGTCCATCGCTGCTGGCAGCACAGCCCGTGCCGGAGCCGGGGGAGGCCGGGTCACTGCGTGCTCCATGGAGAGCTGGAGAGATGCAGACGCGTAATTCCCTAAAACCTCTTAGCGTGCTAAGCCCTGGGATCCCTCAGTGCCGAGGAGGCTGAGGAGAAAATCAGAAATAGCAGCTTAAAGGACAGTCGGTGCCAGCTCAGGGGGCTCTGTGTCCCTGGGGACAGCTCTCCTGGTGAGCCCCAAAGTCCTGAACCCCCAAATCCCTGCAGCGAGCCACGTGTGGGCTGTAGTCCCAAAGCCCCGGTGTGTCACTCGCCTGTGCCCCCGGCCTGTCCCCAGCAGCGCTGTGGCTCCGGATTTGCCCTGTGGGTCAAGGATTTCCCTCCACGGGCACTAATCTGTTTTCCCTCCTTCCAGCTCCTAATTCCCCCCAGATCTGCAGGCTCAGGTCAGCCCCAGGCTCAGCCAGGACGAGCACGGCAATTAGTCTGCCCGATGGAAATCAAGTTAATTAGGAAAGGAAAAGGCCAGAAAGACCTCGGTGCGTGTCTGGCGCTGAGCTGGAGCGGCTGGAAGGGCGCAGGGCTCCCCTGGGAGGGCCGGGAAGGGGCAGCACCCCCTGCCCGCCCTGTCCCGGTGCCACGGCACCCACCCCACCCCGCACGGCCCCAGCCCCGGGAACGGGGGTACCGGGAAGATGCTCCCAGGAGCCCTGCGGGAACATGGGAAGCACTTCCAGAGGTGATGGAGGAGAGGCCAGAAGGCTTCGAGCCCTCGGTGGGACAAAGCTGCCGCCGGTGAGAGCCCCCGGATGGCCGCGGACTTCTGTAAGTGCCGGAGCGAGGGGCGGCGAGGGGAAGGGCTGCAGCTCCCCTGCTCTGCCGGGCGTTCCCGGAGCTCAGCCCGAGCAGCAGCGCTGGGACCGTCCCAGGCCTTACCGGGCTCCTGCTGGAGCCGCCAGAGCTCTGCTCAGCAGCCCCGGGGATGGGGTTTGGTCACAGATGGGTTTCACCCCGCTGCTGCCAGCCTTGCCCCCAGCTTCACCCTCAGCTCTTCCCCTCCGCGTCTCAGTCTCTGTGAGATAATTTGCCCAGGTAGAGTTGTCTGAGTTTCATTTTTGTAAGTGCTTATTGTGTGTTCAGTGACACAGATGGAATAAACACGGGGGTAAAAAGCATCTTCAGAGAGCTGAGGTCAAACCCAGAGGAGAACCAGGTGTGGATGATTTTAGGGAGTGTCAGCGGACAGCGCAGGCACTGACACATCACAGAGCCACAGAACAGCGGGGCTGGGAGGGAAGGGACACAGCGAGGTCATCTGGGCAGCCCAGCACGGAGAGAGAGGGCACCCGAGTGCCCCGTGCCCGTCAGCTGGCCGCCTCCACCGCGGGCAAAGAGCTCCTGCAGATGTTCAGGCCTGATGTGCCCCGTGTCTCCTTGAGCATCCCTGGAGCCAGTCCAAACCCTTCACATGAACCACAAACAAGTCCTGCTGAAAAGCATTGTCCTGCCCTTTTGGGCTGCTGCCATCAGGACAGCTCATGCACGGGACTGAGAGGGCACAAAGAAATGATCCTGGCAGAGCTGAGTTGATCTGGCGAGTTCTAATGAATTTACAGCAATTTTGTACTTGCAAACAGCTAAAATATTGAGTGTTGAGAAGAGCTGGTTAAAATTAAGCTGGTTTAAGTCCTTGGATCATCTGTTCATGGTTTAAGTCCTTGGATCATCATTAACGCAACATGTCAGAGAAATGAACTAATAATTTTGATGGACAAATAAATGAAAGAAGAAGCCTGAGTGAGGCTCCTGGGGAGAGGGGGTAGGTCGGTGCCCCAGGTGAGACCAGGGCTGTGCCAGGTCACATCTGAGTGCCCCAACCTTCCCAGCCAATGTGGCCTCCTCCGTGGCACCACCAGCAGCCAAAGATAGAGTAAAAGCTGTTATTTTATGGAAATTTAGAGGAAATACAGGCTCTTGGGGCACTTCTTCCCACGGTGAGGGTTACAGCACACACTGCCCGGATGGGTTTCACGCGGCATCCACAGGAACGACCCCAAAGGATGGAAAACCATCACAACTCCTTTCTTTCCCTTTCTTTTCCAGTCGCATCCATGCCGGCGACCAACCAGGGCTGGCCCGAGTCCTTCGGGTTCCGGCTAAGCGGCTCCGGGCCGTGCTACGTGCTGTGGGTGCAGGAGGGCAGCAGCGCGGCGCTGGCGGGGCTGCGGCCGGGGGACGAGGTGCTGGAGCTGGAGGGGCAGCCCGTGTCCTCGCTGGGCCGCGAGGCGCTGCTGGGGCTGGCCCGGCGCTGCGGCAGCGTCCCCCCGAGCATCGGCGTGGTGTCCCGCCTGCAGCGCGCCCGCATCCCCCCCGGGCCCGGGGGATGCTTCGGCTTCCAGCTGGCCGCTGAGAGCCCCCCGAGGGTGGCCAGCGTCAGCCCCGGGTCACCGGCAGCGGCCTGCGGGCTGGAACCGGGGGATTACGTGCTGGAGGTGGACGGGAGGCCGGTGGAGCGGCCGGAGGCGGCGGCCGCGCTGCTGCGGAGGTGCCGCGGGCGCTGCCTCCGTCTGGCGCTGCTGCGGCCGCAGCGACGGGAGCCCCGGCCCGGCCCCGGTACCGGCACCGCCACCGGCACTGACACCGGCACCGGCACCGGCACCGCCACCGCACGCCAACACCGGAGGCAGCAGGCGCGGCAGTTCAGCAGGAAGGTGAGGCCGCGATGTGCGGGGAGGGGACGGAGCGATGGGCACCCCCCGAGCCGGGCGGGTTGGGGGTTCACACCTCCGCTCGGGCACGGCGCTGGGGTGCGGATCAGGGGTGAGAACACCCGAGAAAAAGGTCCGGATGGGTGCTGCAAAGGGCTGTTATAAATGAAAATTTGTCCAGCTAAATTAATATGAAGAAATAAAATATTTATTTTGCAATCAGATTCTATCTAGCCAGCCACAAGGAAAGAACAGAGCCAAGCCGGGGTGGGCACCAGAAGTCAGCCTCAGCAGAGGTTTCCCTCCATGCCCACACACCTCCATCCTGGCACAAGTGGTTTTTATAGGGAAAATTCCACCTGAGGCCAAGATTTCAGCAATCAGTCTTTTCTTCTATTCAGAGTCCATATGTTAATAAGATTTTCTTTTTTGGTGGTGAGGGAGAACAAATCAGTGTCCGGAGTTTGTTGAATCCCTTGATGAAATTTACGGGAATTTGGGAACGCTGCATTCACATGGATCTGCCTGAGGATTTCCATGATTTCCATCTCGGGTCGTTCAGGCGATGATCAGCCCCTGGGGTTTCTGTATCTCCCCACACATGGCCCATCTCCTGGCGAGCTGCACCTTCTTACTTGGAAATCAGTTTCCAATCTACACCCGGTCTCACCTGTGAGGGTGGGGGGAATCCTAATACAAACATGTATACTCTAACAAATATTCAATATCACATCTATCATATTAGAAATGGCACGAATTATATCTACTACACATAAAAGGGTTAATCCTAACCCAAACCCTTGGAGAGTCCCTGGGGATGACCCCAAATTCTTGTTCCCCTGCACTACAAGAGCGTGGAGAGACCCACAGGGCAGATCCTGCTCTGCTGCGGGCCTGGATGTCCCTTCAAAGTCCCTTCAAAGTCTGAGCCTGTCACCCCGCAGACATTTTAGTTCTTATTTTGTTGCAAAAGGGAAAACATCAATGTGATTACATCTTCATTGTGCTCCTGAAAGCTTCCCAGTGGGTATTTTACCAAACACCTCGCCTTCTGCTAATTATAAATTTGATCACAGTTGTTTTTTTCAATCTTTCTAATTTCCATTTCAAAGTAGCCTTTTAAAATGCTGTTATGAAAATAACCAGGCTGGTAGGGCCTTTTTTTTTTTTTTTTTTTTTTTTTTTTGATCCCGAGTTAATAAAGGAACAAGACATCCATAAAGGGATTTGTGGGTATCAGGTGAATCCCCTCAGTCAGCTTCTCCATTAAAGGTTGACGAATACCCACTGAGGTTTGGGTTCATGGGCGTGGGAAACAGAGACCTGCTGATTACAACAGATTAATGAGGAGGGGCGGTTGTTCCGTGCCGCCTCCCATTAAACCGAGTAAAAGATTCCTGGATGATGACAGGAGAGCAAGTTTGTCACGGTGCTGTGAGCACCCCGCCAGCATCTCTGTCCCCTCTGTCCCCAGCCCAGCAAAGGCTCTGGGACAGCCCCGAGCAGCAGGAGCGCAGAGCTGCTGGATCCTGGAGCTCAGCTCAGCCTCTGCAGAGGGAATTCCCAGCACAGCCTCTGCAGAGGGAATTCCCAGCGCAGCCTCTGCAGAGTTTGGGGTCACAGCACTGTTCTGGTGGGCTGTGACCCAGCAGAGTTTGGGGTCACAGCACTGTTCTGGTGGGCTGTGACCCAGCAGAGTTTGGGGTCACAGCACTGTTCTGGTGGGCTGTGGCCCAGCAGAGTTTGGGAGTTTGGGGTCACAGCACTGTTCTGGTGGGCTGTGGCCCAGCAGAGTTTGGGAGTTTGGGGTCACAGCACTGTTCTGGTGGGCTGTGGCCCAGCAGAGTTTGGGGTCACAGCACTGTTCTGGTGGGCTGTGACCCAGCAGGGCCATGTGTGGGAGCAGAGCAGGGCAGGGTGACGGGCTGACCACTGAAGGTGCCCCTGCTCCCCGCGTGGTTCCCCGCTGAGCGGGCACCGGGACGCGCTGTCCGTGTGGCAGTGCCCTTGCCCAGGGTCCCACGCCCTGCTGCTCAGTGCCCCTCTCCTCTGGTGTCCTGCTGCAGGTGGATGCCATCCTCGGGGGGCAGCCGGAGCTGAAGGAGCAGGTGGTGACCGTGCTGAAGCAGTACGCGGCCGAGAGGAGGGCGGAGAGCCTGGCCCGTGCCCTGTGCTCGCTGCTCACCCAGGAGTGCCACCGGCCCCTCCTCGACAGCATCAGGTACCAGGGGCACCTCCACGCTGCCCTGGGGACATCCAACCTGGCAGGGCTGGGCAGGGCTGGCAGGGCTGAGCAGGGCTGGGCAGGGCTGGCAGGGCTGGCAGGGCTGGCAGGGCTGGGCAGGGCTGAGCAGGGCTGGGCAGGGCTGGGCAGGGCTGGCAGGGCTGAGCAGGGTTGGCAGGGCTGGCAGGGCTGGGCAGGGCTGGCAGGGCTGGCAGGGCTGGGCAGGGCTGGGCAGGGCTGGGCAGGGCTGGCAAGGCTGAGCAGCCTGAGCAGGGCTGGCAGGGCTGGGCAGCCTGAGCAGGGCTGGCAGGGCTGGCAGGGCTGGCAGGGCTGAGCAGGGTGAGCAGGGCTGGCAGGGCTGGCAGGGCTGGCAGGGCTGAGCAGCCTGAGCAGGGCTGGCAGGGCTGGCAGGGCTGGCAGGGTTGGGCAGGGCTGGCAGGGCTGGCAGGGCCCTGCAGGGAAGATGCCAACCAGTTTTCCAAGGGACAGCTGAGCCAAGCTCGGTGGCATCTCAGCCCAGCAGCCCTGTGCCCTCCTGCCCAGGGTGGGGGACCTGCAGCAGGGGATGTGGCTCCCATCTTGGCTGTGGTTTGGGAGGGAGATGGGGTTCGCTGCAGAGCCACTGGAGATTCTCCAGAGAATAATCCGAGCTCTGCAGGGTGAAAGCTGGTGCTGGAGAGGGCTTGGTCAGTGCTGCCAGCAGCTCTGGCAGTGGGGGGCTGGGGGGGCTCTGGGGGCTGCCCGGGGTGCCAGGGGGTGGTCACTCAGCCTGGGATGCCCTGGCAGTGCTCTGCTGGGGCTCAGGGCTCAGGGCTGGGGCTGGGGCTGGCCCAGGGACACATGGTGGGATTACAGCCGATGGCCATTAGGGAATCAGGGCTCCATCTGGCCTCGCTCCGGCCCAGCTTTGCAATCGCTGCTTTAATCAGAGGAATTGCAGATATTACAGTTTCCATAACAACCCCAGTGTGGGGTCTCTGCTGCAGTGGGCAGGGCGGGGGTGGCTCGGGGCCCCGGCTCAGTGTCCCCCACCCGTGCTGGGACTGCCTGGGGTCCCCCCGAGACCCCCACGCCCGGGACAGCGGGCACAGAGCCCTGCAGGGTGCAGAGGGGACAGTCAGCAGCCCCCTCAGCAGTCACCTTGTGCAGGTGCCCGTGCCCAGCCTGCCCTGTGCCCACTGAGCGTTCTGGAGGGAGCCAGCCTGCAGCAGCTGGGGCTGGGGGCAGGGATGGATGGCACCGAGCTGGGCCTGAACCACTCCCCAAACTGAATCCCAAAACAAGCCCCCACTACTCACAATGCAGGAAAATTCTTTCCCCCAGCAAGATCCGTGAAAATACCTCAAATGCCTCAGATATCCCCTTTGTCATCATCCCTGGGGAATTATCCAGGATTACTTCCCCTCCCAGAGGGGATTTGAATAAGTGTCCAAATCTTCTTCCGGACGGAGCCCCTCTGTGGGGGGCACAGCAGGTGCCCCCAGCATGTCCCTGTCCCTGCAATCCCGGTGAGGAGAGCGTGGCTGCACCCGGCGCTGCCATCCCGAGCTTGCCCATGCCCAGCCTGTGGTGCCAGGGGCAGCACCACCTTAGGGCTCCCCAAACCAGGGCCAAACCCCCTGCTTGCCCCCTGCCCGTGTGAAGGGGTAACACCAGCCTGGGGAGAGGGGTCTGGCAGCTCATCTGCCTTTAATGGAAATGGAATATTTAGCTCAGTGGAAAGATTTACTGTCTAATCTTAACGAAACAAAGTCAGGAAATAAATAAAAGGTGCCTTGGAGAGCTGTGGGTGCTGGGGCAGTGCCAGCGTGCTGCTGCCCTGATCCCAGCTGCTGATTCCGGGTCTCCCTGGTGGCTTTGGTGCCAAGCAGGAGCCTGCCAAGGGCTGCCAAGCCCTGCTCCTAATGTCACTGAAAGAGGTGAGCAGCTCCTGGGAGCTCTGCATTCGGGGTGCTGGGAATTCCTGGGGGGATTCCAGCGGGGTCAGCCTGGCTGGGGCTGAGGAGGGGGTGGGCAGGGCCAGGGGGGTCCATGCAGGGGTTCTGGGGTGGCAGCAGTGTGGGGGTGCTGCTGTGGCCGTTGTGCTGTCCTGGGGCACAGGGCAGCCAGCCCGGGCACTGATGTGGGTGCAGTCGGGGCAGATGAGCCCATCAGACCTGACCCAGCGAGTGTCCTGGGGCTTGTCCTGTGGGGTCACCTCAGGGGGGACTTGGAACCCTGGGAGCACCCATGGGGCACCCCTGGGAGCCTGTGGCCAGTTCTCCAGGGACTGTGATCCCCTCAGAGGGGACTTGGGACCCTGGGAGCACCCATTGGGCACCCCTGGGAGCCTGTGCCCGGTTCTCCAGGGACTGTGATCCCCTCAGAGAGGACTTGGGACCCTGGGAGCACCCATGGGATACCCCTGGGAGGCTGTGCCTGGTTCTCCAGAGATGTTTCCTCCTGAGATGGGGACAGTCCTGCACACCCCTGTGACCTCATGCGTGTGCTCACCCTGAGGGGCCCTGGGAGGGCTGGGGTGAGCTCCTCTCCCCAGGCCGGCCGTGCCATGGGCCAGGGACTGGGATGGAGGCCGGGCTGATGGGTGCCCGCCGCTGTTCCGTGCCCCGGGCAGGCGGCTGAGCCCTGGCACGGGCACATGGCGGTGGCGGGCTGTGTGTGCCCGTGTGTGCCCGTGTGTCCCTGTCACACAGGGCCGGGCACCGGTACGGCCCCGTCTCCCACTGACCCTCTCGCTGGCCTGATTGGATTTCCCTCTGCACCAGCTGTGTTTATTTTTGTGCTGTCGCTGCTGCTGGCTGTCCTCTGCTGTCCCCTCCCCTGCTGTCCCCTCCCTGGGCTCCCCCCGGCCTTTACCGCGCTCTCTGCAAAGTGCTGCGGCTCAGAGCATCCCCAGAGCCCGACTCAGCGCTCGGATCCACTATTGGATTCCCCCCCCCACACACCCTTTCTTTTTATCTCAAACGGATTTTATCCCATTTGCCCAGCATTAAGCTGCTGCCGATTTTAATTTGCTGGCATTTTTTCCATCCGCTGGGCTGTGGCTGGCGGGGATAACGCCCGTGCCCTGCCGGGTCCTCCCCGCTGCCACCCCCTGCCCGTATGGCTGATGTGTGCAGGCGAAGTGCAGAGCTGTGCCCGTGCCCGAGGATGCTGAAATTCGGCTGCCAGGGGGCAAGATGAGCTGCCTCGGGTGAGTACCCGGCACTGGGGGAAGCGGGTTTCACTCAGGTTCCTTCTGGAACGTGGCAGCCCCTGGCACCGCCAAAACCGGCTGTGCTGGAAGGTAATGAACTCTCAGCACGCCTATTGCCTCGGAGCTGCCGGAGGGGGAGGCTCTGATTTGGGTTATTCCATCAGCTGCCACCGCGCAGCGACGGCTCCGTCCCCTCTGCTCCCCCGCCGGGGCTGCCCGTGCCCCGCTCGGGTTATTCTGGGGGGCCGCGGTCTCGGGGGTCCCGTCCCTCGGTGCCGCTCCGGTTTCTGAGCTGGTTCCAAACCAGGGCGGAGCTGCGGCTCAGCAGCACCCCCGGCCCATCCCCGGCCCCTGGGGGCCGGAGCCACCCCCGGGGCGGGCGGGGCACGGGGGATGCCCCTCGGGGGCACGGGCGATGCTCCTCGGGGGCACGGGGGATGCCCCTCGGGGGCACGGGGGATGCTCCTCGGGGGCACGGGCGATGCTCCGAGCGGGGCACGGGGGATGCTCCGAGCCGGGGATGCTCCTCGGGGCACGGGGGATGCCCCTCGGGGGCACGGGGGGTGCTCCGAGCGGGGCACGGGGGATGCTCCGAGCGGGGCACGGGGGATGCTCCGAGCGGGGCACGCAGGGCTGGGCACTCGCCCACCCGCCCGGCCCGGGCACCGCGTCTCTCTGCAGCCGTGCTTTGCCCGCTGCTGCCGTGCCAGGGATGCACCGGCCCCGGGCGGCACCGCTTCGGTTAAAAACATCTGTGTGGAGCGGCACCGCTTGGGTTAAAAACATCTGTTCGGAGCGGAACTGGGGCAGATTCAGATCCCGTCCTCCGGGGACAACAACCGGCCCTGGTGTCACCGTGCCACTGTCCCGTTCGCCCGGGCTGGGCTGGATGTGCGCGGTCCCCGCCGCATCCTCGGGGGATGCTCTGGCTCTCCTTGGCTGTGCGATGCTGTCTTGGCTCTCTGTGACTCGTGTCGCGCTTCAGGGCTGCGGGTAGGAGAGTTTGGGGCAGTTTGTTCTTCGCTGCTTTGGTTTCGCTCCGTTTCTCCCGGGGAAAAGCCGAGGGAGCCGTGCCGGGCCGGGCCGGGCCGGGCCGGGTTGAGCCCTCTCCCCCCCGCCAGCTCCGGTGACCGGCACAGCGGAGGTCGCTGCCCATCGGGGGCTCCCTTATGACGGGAGAAATTCCACCGAGTCCGCGTTAACACCACCTATTTGTCTCAGCTTGTTGTTCATGCAATAAAACTGCTCGGCGTGTTCCTGTATTAAACTGCTGCGGCCATCTGTGACCAGCCCTGGATCAGAAATTTCATCCCAGCCACGAGGATTTATATATTGTGGGCTGTGCTGCTTCCCTGCTTCTCAACCCCCTCCACGTAGCCACTTCTCCAGGGCTGGGGGAGCTTCCCTGCTCTTCTGGATGTGGATGGAGCATGAGAGACCCCCCGAGTCCCTGATGCTGACATGGACATTGTCCTCCTGTCCACAGCCCCGGCATCCCCACCTGGATCACAGGATGGTCATGGAGGAAAAGCAGTTCTTCTTTGCTTCCATTTAAAAAAATCCCTAATCTGATGGCCCAGCATATGCTCAGCTGGCCAAAAAAAAAGAGAGGAGAATTAGGGCGGCAGGGAACAAAATGTGTCAGCAGTGAGACAATTGGGAGCGAGTTCCTTTTTTATTGGTGGAGTTCAAATAGGTCATGACCAAAATGCCTCGGTGGGAAATCTCCTGATAGGAGATTAAATTCCTTTGGCAAATCAAACTCCGGCTGGGATGCAGATGGCATCAGCCTGGCCTGTCTGCACCCTGCTGGAGTCACAACTTTTATTCTGGGAAGTGGTTACTTAGGATGAGTTTTCCAGTGTCTTAAAGGAAACGGAAAGCAGCCTGGAGCTGCAGGAAAAGCCTTTCTGGGGGTCTCTTTGAAGTTCTCCGTGTCCCCGGAGCTGTGGGACCGCCTGTCCCTGCCAGGGCAAGGACAAAGCCACCAGGTCGTGGTGCACAGCGTGGTTTGGGCACAGGGACCCTGGATTTGGGACAGCTGAGGGCACCCTGGGGTGCTGATGGGGACCCCCAGCCAGGCACGGGGTGTGCATCTGCCCCGGGGGACTCTTGGCTGGATCGTTGCTGGAGCAGGGATGTGTCAGGAGGGGGTGACCCTCTCCAGAGCTGAGGTTCGAGCATCTGGGGCTCATCAGCAGAATTCCTGTGCTGGGGTAAAACCTGCCAGAGTTTTCTCTCCCGGATTTTAGCATTTGGCTGGACCAGCAGGGCTTTTCAGGACTGGCAGTGGTTTCCACAGCACACTTTAGACATAATCCAAGTGTAGCTCAATGTTTTAATCCACTCTGGGACCTGTTTTTCTGCACAACTGACAAACTCAAGGTCGGGTCTTTGCCGGTTGTTTTGGGGCTAAACCGTCCATTTTTCATTTCTCCTTCCTTTGTTGCTGCCTGGGGATTGTGTGTGATGTTGGCAGCTCCGGGAAGCCTCACATCCTCTTCATCAAACACCTGTGATGTGCTTAAAGATGGCGTTATTTAAATTAAAGGGGGTTTATCTCTTTCACTCCTGCTGAAGGGCACTGCTGCGCTGCCCTGGCGGTGAAGGATGCTCGTGTGGGGCTGTGGGCCCCTAAATCTGCTCCTGCCCCCGGCCCAGCCCGGCAGCTCCACCTCCCCGCCCCAAATCCGCACCCCTGGCGCCGTTTGCCTTTGAGGTTTCTCACCCCTTTCTGCAGCACGGAATTTGAACACGAGCACTTTAGAAGTCAACTAATTAGCAGCAGGGAGGGAGGGAGGGAGGGAGGGAGGGAGGGAGGGAGGGAGGGAGGCATCCCCCCGGAGTTGGGCGCCGAGCCGTGCCCTCCTTTCTGAGGAAGGACGGGATCGTTCCGCCCGGGAATCACAGCGCCGGCAGTTTTTGGGGACGAGCGAGCCCCGGGGCCGCTGCCGGGGCCGGCGGAGCGCGGGGCTCGGTCCCGCTGCCCGGGCACGGCGGGGCTGCCCCCGGCGGGTGTGAGCCGAGCCCGGGGCTCCGCTCGCATGAGCGTCTGGAGCATCTCCCGCTTTGTTCCGCCGCGCCCCGCCAAATGGGAAAGGACCGGAGTTTCTCCCGGCATTTTCGGTACGTGTCCCCGCTCCGCTGCCCCGCGCTGCTGGCGGAGCATCCCGCCCCACGGGCGGCCCGGGGTGGCTCGGCTGCCTCTGGGCTGCGGGGACCCCGCTGTGTCCCCGGGACAGCCCCACCGCCGCACCGGCTGCTCCCGGAGCTGAGGTGGGAACCGGGGTGGGAAGAGCCCCCCTGGGGCTGCTTTGTCCCCAGGGCTGTCCTCAGCCCCGGGGGATGATGAGGATGATGAGGACGATGAGGACGATGAGGATGATGAGGATGATGAGGATGATGAGGACGCGGGGCTGGGGGTGAGATGGAGCGGGGCTCGCTGTCCCCTCGCTGCCCTGCCCAGGGACAGCTCCTGCCCCGCGGAGCCCCAGCACCGGCACCCCGAGCGGGACTGTCCCCGGCAGGACACGGGCAGATGGCACAGGGGGTGGGGAGGCAGCTCGGCGAGGGTGGGCTGCAGGAACGGGACTGCCTGTGCGGGGCTGAGTGGCCGGTGACCCTCCTGGCAGCTGTGGGTGGGAGCGTGGCACAGGCCGAGAGGTGCCAGAGGGAGCCTGAGCAGGACCAAGAGCAGGGGATGGGCGCAGTGGCACTCTGCCACCATCCTGGCCAAGCTGCTTTGGGGATGGGGTGAAGGTAAAGCAGCCTGGAGTGTCTGGGACATTTCCTGGCCTGGCAAGAGCCCTGAACCCACATCCCCGAGCAGGCTGAGTTCTCCTGAATGAGTGCAGAGGAGGGCTGGTGCCCTGGGCTCTGTGGCACCGGGCATGGGAGGGGCACAGGGCTCAGGGATGGGGGTGCCCTTCCTGTCCCCTCTCCAACAGGAAGCAGAGCTAGGGCTGACCTGGAGCACCTGAGGAGGAGGAGGCAGAGGAAGCAGAGGGCACAAGGCCAGCGCTGTATGACCCTGCTCCTGCTTGACCCCCACAGGCAGGGTGGGCACCTCCGTGCTCCGTGCAGCCCGGTGGGCATTGCTGGCACAGGGAAGCCCCAGCTGGGTGAATCCCAGTGGGAATTGGCGGCAGAGGGAAGCCCCAGCTGGGTGAATCCCAGTGGGAATTGGTGGCAGAGGGAAGCCCCAGCTGGGCGCTGCTCCTCAGGGCCGTGCCAGGGGACAAAGGCAGGTTTACCCTGTGGGGTGCAGGAGGCTGCAGGGAGAGCCCCGGGAAGGGTTTGCCTGCTTTGGTGGATTGTTGGCAGCAGTCGGACAGATCTCTCCTGTCTGGCCCTGCTGTGCCCCAGTCCTGGGGCAGTGCCAGGGTCAGGTCCTGGGCCGGGTCTGGGGCTGAGCTCTCAGCCCAGTGCTGAAGCAGAGGCAAAGTGGGACAGCTCTGCTGGAACGAGCAGGGCCGATGGAATTTGGCCAATTAAATGGGATTGTGCTCATTTTGCCTGTCAGGAACCCGGACTCCTCCCTGGTGGGTGCCCGGCCCAGGTTAGAGGCTTGGGGGACCCACATCCTCTCCTGTCCCACAGGGTGAACTATTTATTAGCAAAATTTCACTCTATTTTAGTTGCTGCTTAATCACAAATCACCTGTGAGTTGCACCAATGTGTTACTTGTTTTAAACTGTCAGCAGATGCTCTGCGTGAGCAGCTGCCAGCCTCGGGAGGCTTGTGGGCTGCCTTCTCCTGCACCAGCTCTTGTTTTGAGCTCTGCCTTTGGCTGGGGAAACAGAGATGTCCTGGTCCCGGAGGATTTGGGATTTGAAGCCTCTCCTCCTCCGTCTCCACCCAGGATTTTGGGTTCCCTTGGTGAAGCTGCCCGAGGGAGCCCTGTGGGATCCCCTGCCAGCCCCAGCTGCTGGTGCCACCCCTCAGAGCAGCTTCCTGTGGGTGCTGTGGCACCAGTGTGGCCCAGTTCCCGCTCTGGTGGTGCCCCGGCAGTGGGTGGGCTCCCGGCCCTCGGGACTGCCATACAGCACCGGCCCCGCGCTCACACCCCGAGAGGTGCCGGAGCTGCCGAACCTCCCGAGAGGGTTTTGTCCACAGCAGCTGCAGCTGCAGGAGTTGCTATAGAAACACCCGGGGATGGCTCCTCCTGGAGCCCCGAAATGGGCCAGTGCAGGGGGAGCGAGCGGGTGTGGGGGTCTGGCTGCTGGGAGGGAAAAGGGAAAGGGAAAGGGAAAGGGAAAGGGAAAGGGAAAGGGAAAGGGAAAGGGAAAGGGAAAGGGAAAGGGAAAGGAAAAGGAAAAGGAAAAGGAAAAGGAAAAGGAAGAAAAGGGAAAAAAGGAAGAAAAGGAAAAAAAGGAAAAAAAGGAAAAAAAGAAAAAAGGAAAAGGAAAAAAGGAAAAGGAAAAGAAAAAAGGAAAAGGAAAAGGAAAAGGAAAAGGAAAAGGAAAAGAGAAAAGGAAAAGGAAAAGGAAAAGGAAAAGGAAAAGGAAAAGGAAAAGGAAAAAGAAAAGGAAAAGGAAAAGGAAAAGGAAAAGGAAAAGGAAAAGGAAAAGGAAAAGGAAAAGGAAAAAAAGAGGGAAAGGAAAAGGAAAAAAGGAAAAAAGGAAAAAAGGAAAAGGAGAAAAAGAAAAAATGAAAAAAGGAAAAAAGGAAAAAAGGAAAAGGAAAGAAAAAAAGGAAAAAAAGGAAAAGGAAAAGGAAAGGAAAAGGAAAAGGAAAAGGAAAAGGAAAAGGAAAAGGAAAAGGAAAAGGAAAAGGAAAAGGACCAGTGTCTCGGGGTTCTGGAGCTCACCCCGGCCCAGGTGGAAGCGGTGGCTCCCCCATCCCTCCTGGGATCCCGCTGTGCGCTCCCCGTGCACCCCCGAGTGTCCTGGGGCTCCTTGCAGGGCACAAGGGCCACTCGGCTGCTCCTACCAAGGGCAGAGGGAGGTGACCCCAAACCAAGCGAGTTCTGGGGTGTCCCCCTGCCTGCGGCACCGCCCTGCCCGTCCCTGCAGCAGCGGCATCCCCCAGGGGCTGGAGGCTCCTGCCTGTCGGTGGAGGCAGCGGGAATGTGGGGACATGCCAGGCTGGGGCCGGGAGAGCATTTTGGGGGTCCCAGGAGAGGCGGGTCTGAGGGAAGGTTTCAACATCATTTCTCCAACGGAACACTGCATGGGATGGGGGAAGAGATGCAGCTGATGTGCCCCCGGTGTCCCCAGCACCCCCGGTTTCCCCGGCACCCTCTGTGTCCCCCCGGTGTCCCCAGCACCCTCAGTGTCCCCCCGGTGTCCCCAGCACCCTCGGTGTCCCCCGGTGTCCCCAGCCCCCCGGTGTCCCCTCGGTGTCCCCAGCCCCCCCGTGTCCCCAGCACCCTCAGTGTACCCCCGGTGTCCCCTCGGTGTCCCCAGCCCCCCAGCTCTGCCAGGACGGATGCCCCTCTGCCAGGATGGGTTCAGCTCTCTCCCTCCCAGGGATGCCCGGCCCTCCTCTCCGTGCCACACTGCCCGGGCCCCGCTCCTCACTCGGTGCTTTGCCCCCCGCAGGATTTTCATCCCCAAGAAGCACCGGCAGCGCTTTGACGAGGTGGTGTCTCAGAGCCTGCTCAGCAAACTCTGCCGCTCCCGGAGCGAGCACAGCAGCCGCCTGCGCCGCAGCCGCAGCGAGGACCACCAGGAGCGGCTGCTGGTGTCCACCCGCGCCAGCTCCGTGCCCCGCAGCCACCAGGAGCTCGCCAAGAGCCTCCGCAAAACCTCCTCGCTCATCGCCGCCAATGCGGCCTCGGGGGCTGCCCGCAGGTAGCGCCTCCTTCGTGCGAGGAGGCGGGAGGGGTGCCGGGGGCACGGAGGGGTGGTGTCGGTGCGGAGCTCTCCTGGGATCGGGATGGACAAAGACCTCTCCCTCGGGAAGGGTGGGCAGCTTTGTGCCCCTTGTCCCGGCTCCGGGGCACCCTCAGTGTCCCCTCGGCTCTGCGGGACTGGCTGTGAGGAGCTGGGGTGGCACAGGCAGGCTGAGCGGGGGTGGCCGCTCCTCACTGGGTGGGATGCAAGCTGTGCCAGCAGGATTCGGGGTACCCAGCAGTGCCAGCAGGACTTGGGGTACCCAGCAGTGCCAGCAGGATTCGGGGTACCCAACAGTGCCAGCAGGATTTGGGGTACCCAACAGTGCCAGCCGGATTTGGGGTACCCAGCAGTGCCAGCAGAATTCAGGCTGTGCCAGCAGGATTTGGGGTACCCAGCTGTGCCAGCAGGATTTGGGGTACCCAGCAGTGCCAGCAGGATTCGGGGTACCCAGCTGTGCCAGCAGGATTTGGGGTACCTAGCTGTGCCAGCAGGATTTGGGGTGCCCAGCTGTGCCAGCAGGATTTGGGGTACCCAGCTGTGCCAGCAGGATTTGGGGTGCCCAGCAGTGCCAGCAGGATTCAGGCTGTGCCAGTAGGATTTGGGGTGCCCAGCAGTGCCAGCAGGATTCAAGCTGTGCCAGCAGGATTGGGGTACCCAGCAGTGCCAGCAGGATTTGGGGTACCCAGCAGTGCAAGCAGGATTTGGGGTACCCAGCAGTGCCAGCAGGATTTGGGGTGCCCAGCTGTGCCAACAGGATTCAGGATTTATCTGCAATAAAGAATCACAGACTGCTTTGGGTTGGAAGAGCCCTTAAAGATCTGATTCCAACTCTGCTGTGGGGAGTTGGAACCAGATGATTTTTAGCTTTTATACATATATTTATTCTTTATATCTATATATTTATCCTATATTGCACTTTGAAACCACATTTTAAAGACACTTTGGTGTCAAAGGGAACTTGTGGGGACATTGGGAGCGTCGGGGGTTGAGCACTCAGGAGAACCTGGGCTAGCAGGGCTGTGGAGGGGCTGGGGAAGGAAACAAGGGCTGGATCTTCTCCTCTGATGTCCTGTTTGCCTTTTTCACCCCCAGAACCGTGCGAGTTTATAAAGGCAACAGGAGCTTTGGCTTCACGCTCCGTGGCCATGCCCCGGTGTGGATCGAGTCTGTCCTGCCGGGTAAGAACGGGAGATGGGGACATCGGTACTGCTCCTGCTCTGCCCCTGAAATGTTAAATGCTGTTGGCTAGAAAAGGGCAAAAGGGACTTTCCCAAGGCTCCGTGGGGGAGGTTTTCCAGTGCAATAATGAAGCATCTTTGGTGCAGTTTGGTTTGGCTTTATCCACTCCTTGTTGTGAGAAGTGGGAAATGTGTCCAGCGACCCTCCCAAAATGACAGCAGTGCTCCTGTTAGTGTTCAGAAACACGTAATTATGGGATATGATTATCTGCAGTGCTTTTATTGAGAGCTCTGGGAGTCGGGGTACAGACCCAAATCTGACTCCAAACATAAGTTTCGAGATGAACGTATTTTATACCCTATCATTGTATAACTTACACATTAATTATTAAACTTACATTGTTCTATTGTATACATTGACATGAGTTTATAGTGATCTTTCTTAGGCCCATGACCACAGTTTCACATGATTATTCTTTCTGATTAAACAGTAATTACTAAACAGTTATCACATCTAACAATTATATCAATTATCATGTACTAGCTACACAGTACTATTTCTCCCTGTGCTAAAGGTATTTACCTTTCCCAGGCCTACTAAGTTTATTTTTTTTCTGTTAACCCAAAATCTGATGATTTTAAACCCCTTTTGCTATCACTCCCAGTGCGGGCTGGCTGCTGCACCCGGCTGGCTGAGCGCTCCCAGCGCACCCAGAGGAGCCGGGGCAGGGGGTGCCCTGCCCGGGGTGTCCCAGACCCCCGTCCCAGCCAGAGGTGCTGCAGCTGAGGCCCCTTTGTCCTTTAGGGAGCCCGGCGGAGAAGGCTGCCCTCAAAGCTGGAGACAGGATCCTGTTCCTCAACGGGCTGGACATGAGGTAGGAGCTGTGCAGGGCACCCAGGGCAGGGGGCAGGGGCTGGGCACTCGCTGTGGTCCCTCCTGGGCATGGGACACGGGAGCTGCTGGCCCTGGTCCCCCTGTGCACAGGGGTTTGCCCTGTGGGGACAGCTGGGGACAGCTCCTCCAGGGCTGGAGCATTTCCTGGCTCTAATGGGAGCATTTCCTGGCTCTAAGAGGAGAATTTTCTCCACCCCTGCTCCTCCTCTGAGTTCTCTCTGCAGGGCACTTTCTATGGCCTGGGTTCTGACTGCAGCCCACCCCAATTCCAGGCCCTCTGAGTTAATTTGTGTGTGTTAAACACCTGAGGTTCTGCTTGCAGAGCCCCATCCAGCCCAGGAATCACTCCCACCATGGGAACATAGGCTTAAATCCACGTGGGAATCCCGTTTGGAGTTAATTCTGTATATTGTTTGTGCACCAAAGCAACGGGACCAGAGGGATTTGTGCCCCGCATCAGTGCTGTGTCCTTGGGTGTGTCTTTCTGCATAAAAAGCAAGAGCAAAGGGTTAGAGGAGGCTACAGGACAAGAGAGAGTGATGAATATTTAAAGGTTAAACTGATGCTGCTTCGGTCAGGGATCAGGTTCTCAGGTTTCAGCTGATCCAGCGAACTCTTGGCTGATGCAGCACTGCCAGAAAAAGGAGACCGGGCACAGGATTGTCCTCTCAGCCCTGCTTTTGGCAGGCATTGTCCCAGCCTGGCCCGTGCCCTTCTCCAAGGGCATCCCAAGATTTTTTCACCTACAAAATTACACTTTATATTCACCTTGCATTTTCTTTTCGTGCAGAATTAGGACAGGCGAGGACAGACCTGCAGCGCCGTGTTATTTAAAGGAAAAACTCATTTTCTGGGTCTGGGTGTAGCTTAACTCTGCCTTCCTGTGCCATGACCCTCCTCAGGGTGGCCCCACCATTCCCGTGGTGATCCCTTGGTGCCCACTCGTGGGGCAGGACCCAGGCATTCCCATGGTGATCCCTTGGTGCCCACTCGTGGGGCAGGACCCAGGCATTCCCATGGTGATCCCTTGGTGCCCACTCGTGGGGCAGGACCCAGGCATTCCCGTGGGGATTCCTTGGTGCCCACTCGTGGGACAGGACCCAGGCTCTCCCTCGGGAGGCTCCTCCCTGGGCACCGCAGGCAAAGCCAAGCAAAGGTGGGGAGAACCCAGGGAATCACGGCAGGCCCCAAACCCCTCTGGCTCTGAGCAGCACAGGGAGGCTTCTCCAAGATGAAATTGCTGCCCTGGAGCCGGGGCAGCTCTGACCGGGCTCTGCTGTGCCCGCAGGAACTGCTCCCACGACAAGGTGGTGTCGATGCTGCAGGGCAGCGGGGCCATGCCCACCTTGGTGGTGGAAGAGGGCATGGTCAGCCTCTCCCACGGTAAGAGGGCAGGGAGGAGGGCGTGGAGAGCGGGAATTCCAGGCCAGCTCCCCAATTCCTGGCACAGGAGGGAATTGCCAGCGCCTCCATGGGCTGAGCAGGTCCAACGCAATGCCGGGGGGATGGATGGATGCTCGTGGCCCTGCTTTGTGGGATCAGCTGGATCTCAGGCTTGGCTGCTCTTCAGGGGGAGGAGGGCTCGTTCTGCTGGGTGCCTGTCCTCAGTGTCCCTCGTGTCCTTCCTGTGCGGCCTGTCCTCGTCTGCAGTAATCCAACGCTGTGCTTTGGTGCTGGCTGCACAGAGCCCGGGGCTAGGGCTGTGCTCTGCGGGGCTGGGACTGCTGCAGGGCTGGGACTGCTGCAGGGCTGGGACTGCTGCAGGGCTGGGACTGCTGCAGGGAGAGGTGGTGATGTGTTCTGCAGGAGTGGTACTGCTGCAGGGTTGGTACTGCTGCAGGACTGGTACTGCTGCAGGGTTGGTACTGCTGCAGGATTGGTACTGCTGCAGGACTGGTACTGCTGCAGGATTGGTACTGCTGCAGGGTTGGTACTGCTGCAGGGTTGGTACTGCTGCAGGATTGGTACTGCTGCAGGGTTGGTACTGCTGCAGGATTGGTACTGCTGCAGGGTTGGTACTGCTGCAGGGTTGGTACTGCTGCAGGGTTGGTACTGCTGCAGGATTGGTACTGCTGCAGGGAGCTGGGGGTGCCTGGGCACTGGAGGGTGCCCGTGCAGGGCAGGATCCCCAGGCCCAGCACGATCCCCAAGCCCCGTGGGGGCTGCAGGCTCCCTGTGCTCTTGGGGTGCTGCTCCCTGGTGCACAGAGCTGGGGGCCAGGCCTGGCCCTTCCCCCTGGAGCAGCTCTGGGCTCCCCTCAGCCCCCTGGGACGCCCCAGCTCCTTTGCAGGTGCACTCAGTGCATCCCCAGAGCCACAGCAGCCTGCAGCACTTTGGGTCGCAGTGAACCTTAAAGATGATTTATTTCCCCTCTCTGCCTTGGGCTGGGACACCTCCCAGCAGAGCAGCTTATTCCAAACCCCATCCAACCCAACCTACTGCAACGCACGCCCCAGCGGCACTCAGACTGCTCCAGCGCCCCCAGAAGAAGCCAAGGAAAGATGGAATATTTATTTTGCAGACTCTGACTCTGCTGAGTCCCCGAGCAGCTCCTCGGCCCTCACCTCCCTGCAGTGGGTTGCAGAGATTCTCCCCTCTAGCATCAGGATCCAAGGAAGGACCTTCCCGCAGCAGCTGGAGCACCTGCTGACCCCGCCCGAGCGTTTGGCCGTCTGCAAGGCGCTGGAGGGCTTCTTCCAACACCGGTAACTCCGGGCCAGCAGGGGCATGCCCAGCGGGGCCGGCCTGGGGCACTGCCCGTGCCAGGCTGGCTGCCAGGCAGGGCACAGCTGGGCTGGCAGGCTGCCCCCGCAGCTCTGCCACCCCTGTGCTCCCCAGGCTCCCCAGCCAGGGGTTCCCTGTGCCCGAGCTCACCTCATCCAGGTGTTCTCAGCCCAGGTGTTCCCCGTGCCCAAGCTCACCTCATCCAGGTGTTCCCTGTGCCCGATCTCACCTCAGCCCAGGTGTCCTGCCTGGGGACAGAGCAGATGCTCCATTTTTGGTTCCTTTAGGTTAGGTTGGTCACCTCTTCTCCCCCCTGCCCCAGTGCAGGCTGTCTTGCAGCCTGGCTGTCCCTGGCAGCTGCAGATCCTGTTCCAGCTCTCGCAGTAAATCTCTCCATGTTCCGTCCCTGTCTCCTCTCTGATCCCAAAATCCCAGCTGCAGCATTCCTTGGTGGCTGCACGGGAATGGCTGTGGCTGGCAGAGCCCTCGTCCCCCCTGTCCTGGGCAGGGATCCAGCCACATCCCCTGGCACACTCCAGATTTCAGCAGTGGCCTCGTTTCCTGCCCTTGCTTGGTCTTCCAGCAGCGTTTTATCAGAGGCTGTCACAGAATCATGGAATGATTTGGGTTAGAAAGGACCTTAAAGAATATCTTGTTCCACCCCTTGTCATGGGCAGAGTCACCTTCCATCATCCCTGGTCACTCCCAGCCCTGTCCAGCCTGGCCTGGGCACTGCCAGGGATCCAGGGGCAGAATTTCATCCTGCTGCAGGCTGTTCTATCCTGTGGCATGGGGTGCTCAGCTATTCCCAGCAGCCTTTTCCCTGCTCTACACCCCAAAATCAGATGGAGCTTTGTGCCCCAGGAGCTGCCAGCCCAGCCACCCTCCCCGCTGCAGCTCTCCCACAGCCTGTGTACCTGCAGCTGGCTAAAATTCCAATGTTTCCAGGGCTTCTCTCTGCTGTCTGCGCTCCCCCACCCCTCTTACTCATAAAATCACGGAATCCATTAGGCTGGAAAGGCCCTCTGAGACCGAGTCCAACATTCCCCAGCACTGCTGGGGCCACCACCGACCATGGCCCAGGTGCCACATCCTTGTGGGTTTGAGTCGCTGCAGTGAAGGCGGCTGTTCCTGGCAAAGATGAGGCTGGGGAGTAGGAGGGGCTGTGCCAGAGGGACACTGTCACTGCCCAGCCCTCTCCTGTTTTTCAGGCACAGTGACACTGTCAATGTTTTTTTTTCAGGAACATTGACACTGTCACTGCCCAGCCCTCTCCTGTTTTTCAGGAACATTGACACTGTCAGTGTTTTCTCAGGAACATTGACACTGTCACTGCCCAGCCCTCTCCTGTATTTCAGGAACAGTGACACTGTCACTGCCCAGCCCTCTCCTGTTTTTCAGGCACAGTGACACTGTCAATGGTTTTTTTTTCAGGAACATTGACACTGTCACTGCCCAGCCCTCTCCTGTTTTTCAGGCACAGTGACACTGTCAATGGTTTTTTTTCTCAGGAACATTGACACTGTCACTGCCCAGCCCTCTCCTGTTTTTCAGGCACATTGACCCTGTCAATGTTTTTTTTTTCAGGCACATTGACCCTGTCAATGTTTTTTCCAGGAACATTGACACTCTCATTGTGGATGTGTACCCGGTGCTGGACACACCAGCCAAGCAAGTCCTCTGGCAGTTTATCTACCAGCTGCTGAGCTGCGAGGAGCAGGAGCACTGCCAGCAAAAGGTTGACAGGTTTCTGGGGTGCAAGGCCCTGGCAGGTGAGAGGAGGTGCCCAGGACGGACACGCCGTGTCCTGACAGCTGCTGGGAGCTCGGTGCCCTGTGCTGGTGTAGCTCTGGAGTCAAACTGCCTTGAGAGGAGAGGTGTCACCTCAAGGGTGCTCTGGGAGCCAAGGCTTGGGCAGCTGCTCAGGTGTTAGAGGTGAGGAGGTCCAGGAAGGGAGCAGCTGGTGCAAGGGCAGCATTCAGAGCAGAGAGGTAAAATAAGGGTGACACGGCGTCCCTTGGGATGTCACAAAACCATCCATGGTTGGGAGAGGTGGTGCTGCTCTCCCAGAAACATGAAGACAGTTGGTGATGCCCCTTGTCTCTGGTTCCCCTGTCCCCTCACCATCACCCTCACCTGGTTCTGTGGCAGCACAAAGCCAGTGGTGCACTGGGGAGAGCAGGTTGGAAGTGAAATGTCCTCATCTGTGCATTCGCACTCTCAATTGCTTCCAATTTTCCTGTTCTCAGCTGCTCACACAGATGTGTTCATTTTAGACCCAGCAAAGGTAAAAGAGGTGTTGTTTGAGGAGAGGCTTTTGAGGAGCACAGTGATTTTAGCAGAAAACAGAACCAGCTCCACGTGCTGGTGCAGATCCTTCCTGCTGTGCACGGGATGCTGTGCTCCAGGCCCACTGGGTCTGCACCCAGCCTCCTCTGCTTTGTGTGTGCAGAATCACACTGGCCACGGGCTGTGGACAGCAGCAATTCCCGCCCTGTAATTCGTGTACAGCCTCAGAAGCTCCAGCTGCATTCCAGGAATGCAGAGCAGGAATCCCCAGCCAGGGAGGAGGGAACCCCAGGAGCAGATGTGCCCGTCCCAGCTGCTGTTCCCAGCTCCAGGCTGGTCCCTGGCTCCTCTCAGTGTCTCAGGGGCAGTCTCTGAGCACGAGATTTGGTGGCTGTGGTCTATTCTGTGTGTCTGTGCCCGGCAGCACTACAGCCAGAGATCTCTGGATTTGGGCTGGTCCTTCCCCCAGGCTTCCAAACTCTGGTGATCTCCATGTCCCATTCTGGTCTGCTGGGTACCTCAGGGATGGATGCTCGGTTCCCTCCATCCTGCTGTGAGCAGGATGCTCACAGGATGCTCACGGGATGCTCACGGGATGCTCACGGGATGCTCACAGGATGCCCTGAGCTGCCACACCGAGCTGCACATGGACAATGCATGGGCCATGTGCTCCTCCCCAGGGCTGGCCCCACTTCCTTCTTTTCCCTTGGGGGCAGGAAGGTTTACTGGGACCAGCCCAGCTCAGGCTGGACTTTCCTGTGGGCCATGAGCTGGTGGGTGCCAATCCAGCTGGAAAAACACACTGGATGCCCCATCCCTGTGCATCCATCCCTGTCCTGTGCTGGCACGAGCTCCTGGAACCTGCTCAGCTCCCGGGGATGGAGCGAGAGCGTCCTGGGCATGGCAGCTGCTCTGAGTGCCATGGGCCGGGGGGCTCGGGGGGCTCGGGGGGCTCTGGGGGGTTCTGGGGGGCTCGGGGGGCTCTGGGGGGCTCTGGGGGTGCCTGTGCAGGGTGGGGGGCAGGGGGGCCCGGCCGTGCCTCACAGAGGTGTTTCTGCTGCAGCCGAGGCAGAGGCTGAGGATCGGTACCGCAGCTCCGTCCGAGGGGCCTCCCTGTGCCGGGGCAGCCTGCGGACCCCCCGCCCCGAGGAGGGGGCAGCAGGTGGGTGACGGGGGCTGGCACCTGGCGGCTCTGCCTGCTGTGTCCTGCTCTGCCCCGAGCCGAATTCCTGACCTGCTCCTAAGCGGGAATGATGGGAAAAGGTGGAGGCAAAGGTGGAGGTCAGCACTGAGGCATCGGCTGGAAATCCATGTTTTCATGTGAATTTTTCACAGAATTATAGAATGACAGAATCATTTAGGTTGGAAAAGCCCTCCAAGATCATCAAGTCCAACCTGTGGCTGATCCCCACCTTGTCACCCAGCCCAGAGCACTGAGTGCCACATCCAGGGGTGCCAGGGACACCTCCTGGGACAGCGATTCCATAGGGGAAGAACCAATTCACTAAGAGACCACTTGATCATAAGGCTGAATGTTATTTCCGAGCCCTTCCATTACTCAGATGTGAACTGGTCCTGCTGTCTGGGCCCCCCTTCTGAGGGTAAAATTTATGGTTTGCCTCTGAACATTCTCAGTGTCCATGAAATTAACAGGAAAACCACCTTTGTGAAATCCATGTGAGGAAGGAGATCATGGTTCAGGGTCCCTTGGGGAGTGCTGACAAACCCCATTCGTGACACCAGCCCTGCCTCCTTCAGGGCACACAGAGCTGCCTGTGCCCATCGCTGCTGGCCCCTGACCTGTGCTCCTGACCATGACCTGCCCACCACCTCCCTAAGGAGCTCCTGGGCCTGTGGTGCCCCTCAGCTGAGACGTTTCCCCAGGGAAGATCCTCTGACCCGGCTCCAAGGAGCTTTTCTGGAGGATTAGAGCACGGAGAGCAGCCGACAGCTGTGTGTGCTGGAGGGGAGCCGTGCCTGGGCAGATGTTGGCCAGATGTGAGGAGCAGCCCTGTCCTCAGCTGCCCCGAGGGAAGAGCGGAGCAGCTTGGAGCTGTCTGCTGACCTTAAACCTACCCTGCGCCGCTGCCCTGGGACCCCCAGAGCCGGGAGCTGGGGCAGGGAGGTCGCTCGGGGTCCCAGCAGGAGCTCTGTGGGTCAGGGCTGAGGGGAGTGGGGGCACAGAGCAGTGAGTGGTTTGTCTCTCCCTCCCGCAGGCAGTGACACCGTGGAGGTCCCCGTTCGCCTGATCCCTGGAGAGAGACAGGCTGGTGATGGCACGTCCCTCCCGGAGACACCCAACCCCAAAATGGTGTGACACCATGGTGGGACACCCCTGGCAGGGCTTTGCCCACGTGTGTGGGGTGGTGTGCCCACAGGAAGGCAGTCTGGGTCCTTGGCTGTGAGCACAGGGCAGCAGGAGAAAGGGAACGATGTGTCTGTGGGTGAATACCTGCAGGGGGCTGGCGGTGTCCCAGCCCCTCTCTGAGGTCACCTCCCTGGGCAATTCAGTGAGGCTGATGTCTGCCAGTGTCTTCCTGCGGCCTCCTCGGTGGGAGGCTCCTGGGGGGCTCAGAAGGGCAGAGCAGCCTGGGCTGGGGTGAATCCCCCTTTATGGAACAAGAGATGTGTGCTGGTGGGCCAGAGAGCCCCAGAAAGTTTGGGTTGGAAGGACCTTAAAGCCCACCCAGTGCCACCCCTGCCATGGCAGGGACACCTCCCACTGTCCCAACTGCTCCCAGCCCCGTCCCAGCTGGTCTTGGGCACTGCCAGGGATGCAGGGTTTGCCCCAGCTGCTCTGGCCAGCCCGGCCTGTGGGCACTGTCCTGCCCCCCGGCCGTGGCAGCTCTCTGGGGCTCCCCAGGCCCGGGGCACGGCAGCAGCTCCGTGTCCCTCCCCAGATGTCGGCCGTGTACGCGGAGCTGGAGAACCGCCTGATCGGCGGCTTTGCGGGCAAGGTGGGCAGCGCCGCCCTGCACAGGACATCGCCCCCCGGCCCGGAGCTGCCACACGCTGCAGGTACCGCCGGGGCTCTCAGGGATGGTGGCTGGTGCTGGCCAGGCGGGTGGGGGAGAGGGCAGCGTCCCCTTGGTGCCTTGTACGAGGCAGCAGCGCTGGCTCCGTGTGTGAGCGCGGGGTTGGCTCTGCAGAGCTCTGGCTGCCTGGGGGCATCCATGGGAGCACAGCCTGGCAAGCTCCCTTCTCCTGCCCCATGGACAGCCATGCAGCCCCTGGGCTCTGTCCCGCAGGTGGCCGCAAGCCGGGCCCAGCGTGGCCGAGCGAGCTGGCGGGTCAGCCCTGCTACTACCGGCTGCACAGCAGCGTGGCCTCGCCCTGCAGCACCGAGTCCAACCCCTACGTCAGCCTGGACAGCAGCCCGGCACCATCGCCCAAGCGCCGCGAGTACTCGCCGCTGGCGCGCCGCAAGAAGCTCTTCACCTTCTCCAGGCCCCCGCGCAGCCGCGACACCGACCGCTTCCTGGACGCCCTCAGCGAGCAGCTGGGCCACCGCGTCACCATCGTGGATGATTTCCTCACCCCCGAGAATGACTACGAGGAGGTGAGAGAGGTGTGGGGTGTTCAGAGCGCCGGCCTCGCTGCCCTGGGCATGGAGTGCCCACCTGAGGGATCGGGGCACACGGCCTGGGCTCCACGGGTGGCAGGGAGGGATGGATGGATGAGGGATGGATGATGGATGGATGGATGGATGGATGGATGGATGAGGGATGGATGATGGATGGATGGATGATGGATGGATGATGGATGGATGGATGATGGATGGATGGATGATGGATGGATGGATGGATGGATGGATGATGCATGGATGGATGGATGATGGATGGATGGATGATGGATGATGGATGGATGGATGGATGGATGGATGGATGGATGATGGATGGATGGATGGATGGATGATGGATGGATGGATAATGGATGATGGATGGATGGATGGATGGATGGATGGATGGATGGATGGATGGATGGATGGATGGATGGATGGATGGATGGATGATGGATGGAGGATGGTGGCTGGAGGACGAGGTGCCACCTTCAGCCCGTGCTCGGTGCCCACGCAGATGAGTTTCCAGGATGACCAGGGCAGCTACGTCACCAACGATGTCAGCAGCAGCGAGTACATCAGCAGCAGCGACGAGGGCAGCTCCCTGACCTGCTCCACGCTCTCGGACCACATCCCCCCTCCTCCGCTCAGCCCCCGCCCCCGCCACCCCCCTGCAGTTCCACGACCCCCAGAGCGGCCCCGCCAAGGCTGAGGCCACCAAGGCCAGCGCGGCGCCCGCCCCCAAGTCCCTGACCGGCCACCTGCACCCCATCCCGCCCCCGCCGCCGCCGCCCCCGCCGCCCCCCGTGCCCTGTGTGCCCCCCCTGCACCGGGGGCTGCTGCACCGCCGCAGCGACTCCAACCACATGAGCGTCAAGAGGCTGCGCTGGGAGCAGGTGGAGAACTCGGAGGGGACCATCTGGGGGCAGGTATGGCCCGGGAGAGGGGTGCTGGGGCGAGGCACGGGGGTGCCAGCCGTGCCCGGGGGAGCTGTGACCCGTGCTGAGGCTCTGCAGGGCTCCGGCTCATCCCTTGGGCTGGGGAGAGGCCCTGGAGAGCCTCTGAGCTGCTGATTTTGTCTGCGGCGTGCTGAGGAGCACTTCCCTGCCCTGAGGGCCTGCCACAGCCAGGAGCTGCCTCCAGATGTGTTCTGCAGCTGTGGGGGCTTCAGTGGGAAAGGATGAGGATGGCTGGAGCAGAGCGATGGGAGAGCCCCGAGAGAGCAGGGCAGGACATGGAGGGGACAGCAGAGGAGAGGGGTGGGACAAGACGTGACAATCCTTTGGCATCGTGGCCATGAAGTGGAGCAGAGCTCTGAGGTGGATCCGTCCCTTCCCGGGTTTAACTCCCCGTCTCTCCTGGTGTTCAGGACATGTCATATTCCATATTCCCCGTGCCCTGAGCAGCCAGAGGGGAGCTGTGGGACCATCTTCCAGTCCCCCAGGCTCTGAGACCCTGCAGGTCCCTCTCCCCAGCACTCCAGGAACGAAGACACTTCTTCACAGTGATTTTTCTGTGCGCAGAAAAATTCCTGAAGCTCCTGGAATTCCCATTTTATCCTTCAGTGAGGGGATCGTGTCCAAGGAGCAAGTGAAGACAGAGGTGCTCTGTAGGATTTCAGCTGTGTCAGGAGCTGAGGGAATCTGCAGGGCAGTGGCCGAGCCTCCAGTCACAGGCTGGTGCCACCAGCCTGTCCTGGTTTCTCTGGGGACAGGGACTGTGCCAGCACGGGTGGCACCGTGGGGCTGTCCCTGTGCCCGCACTGCCCCTGACTCCTCCTCCCCACAGCTCGGGGAAGACTCGGATTATGACAAGCTGAGTGATATGGTCAAATACCTCGACCTGGAGCTGCACTTTGGGACTCAGAAGCCCACGAGTAAGTTCTGAGCCCCAGAATAAGTCCTGGTACCAGCAGAGACCGGTGCCAGCTGGGAGGGACTGGGAGGAACTGGGAGGAACTGGGAGGAGCTGGAGCTCGATGGGCAGCAAGGCAATGCCTGTCTGTGACATCACCCGTGGCATGAATCTGTTCATCCTCAGGATTTTGTGGCACAGTGGATCATTAAGGTGGAAATGGTTTCATTATCTCCCTTAATTATCTCTGCTGCCACGAGCTGTTTTCTCTCCACGTTTCATTGGGCACTGAAACCGGGCTGGAGGCTTTCAGCAATGGCAGCTCCAGTGCTCGAGAGCTCTGGAAATGCTGAAAAAGCCATGAAAACATTCATTCCTGTGTCCAAAGAAATCATCACCAGCAGCACTTCACTTTTTATGCAGATACTCAGTGGATGTCCCCCAGGAGCTGTGACGGGTCTGGAGCTCTAGGCCTGTGCAGCTCCCATCGCTCTTCAGCTGGGGTCTCCCAAAACCCACCGGGATCTGCACCCGGAGGAGTTTTTGGGTGCCACAAGCCCAGAGCGGGGTCCAGGTGGGGGTGTGGGGTGGTGGCGATCCTGTGGGAGGCATTCCAGTAAAGCAAGTGGGATGTCTGAGCTCTCCTGAGGGGCCACGGTGCCCAGCTGGCAGTGGGATGAACTGGGACTCATCTCAGGGGGCTGTTTTGGGATGTTTCTGAGCAGTCTGGGGTTTTCTGTGCGTTTCACCTCTCGTTTTACCTTTTCCAGCTCCAGCTGAGCCCTCCATTGGGGAGATCTTTGAATCGCAGGATTCAAGGATTCCTGGAGCCATTGCTGTGTGCAAAGCATCCGTCCCCCTCTCTTCCATTCATGGTTTCACTGTTTGCAGGACAGTTTTCTTCCCGTTGGAGCCGCCTGAGCCTGTCCTTACCCGTGATTAAATCTTTCAGTTTCTCTTCCAGAGCCAACTCTCATGCCTGAAAACTTTAAAAAGAAAGACGTGGTTGAAATTTTGTCCCACAAAAAGGCCTACAACACATGTAAGTGAAGTGCACGGTGGAGGTACCCCCAAAAGGGGTCTGCAGGTGGGATGTAGAGAGCTGGAAAGGTAAAGGGAAGGAACAGGAGCTCGATCCCATGAGCACAGCTCGGTGGGATGGATTTTCCTGCAGCCCAGAGCTGCCCCAGACTGCAGTCCTGGGCAGGGCAAGGAGGGAACTTTGGGGAAGGATGGAGATGGGGTGCGCCTCGTGGTCCTGAGGAGGGCAGACCCCACAGGGAAGGGGGGCAGTGGCGGGGTGGTGCTGCCTCTCCAGGATGTGCTTCTGGGGGGCTGCAGGGCCAGAGCCGCCCGTGGGGTGCCCACGCAGCCCTGCAGGGTCCCAGGGCTGTGCCCCACTCCGTGGGGAGGCCGATGTCCCCGGGTGCCCCGGTCCTGCGGGGCAGCGTGTGCCAGCACTGCCCCAGCCCGGGGTCCCCTCCTGCCCCCGGGTGACAGTGAGGTGCCTCCCCAGCCATCCTGATCGCCCACCTGAAGCTGTCGCATGTGGAGCTGCGGCAGATCCTGATGACGATGGAGACGGATCGCCTGGAGCCGTCCCACATCAAGCAGCTGCTGCTCTATGCTCCGGACGGGGAGGAGGTGCAGCGCTTCCAGAGCTTCAGGGAGAACCCCGGCAAGCTGAGCGAGCCTGACCAGTTCGTGCTGCAGGTGCCGGGGCAGGGCTCTGGGAGGGGGCTGGGCGGGCAGGACAGTCACACCTGGGGCTGGGTGTGCAGGACAGTCACAGCTGGGGCTGAGTGTGCAGGGCACTCACACCTGGGGGAAGCTGTGTGTGCAGGACACTCACACCTGGGGGAAGCTGTGTGTGCAGGACACTCACACCTGGAGCTGTGTGTGCAGGGCACTCACACCTGGGGCTGTGTGTGCAGGACACTCACACCTGGAGCTGTGTGTGCAGGACACTCACACCTGGGGGAAGCTGTGTGTGCAGGGCACTCACACCTGGGGCTGTGTGTGCAGGACAGTCACACCTGGGGCTGTGTGTGCAGGACACTCACACTGGGGCTGTGTGTGCAGGACAGTCACACCTGGGGGAAGCTGGTGGCACTGGGACTGTGGCACTGGTGCCCAGCTGATGCCTGAGGGATGTGGCAGCTCCCAGGGGCTGTCCAGAGCTGCAGAGCCACCACCAGGCTGTGGCTGTCCTCGCTCCCTGGTGACAGTGACCTTGCCCAGCTCTGGTTTAGGTTCCTCTGCCGATGTCACCCATGGGTGCTGGTGTGGGAGTGCCCATCCCACGGTGGCACAGCCGCTCCCTGTGCCAGCTGCAGCTCCCGTTCCTGCCCGGGGCAGGAGGAGCTCTGGGATGCTGAGCCTGCCCTCCCCGTGCCCAGATGCTCTCGGTGCCCGAGTACAAGACCCGCCTGCGCAGCCTGCACTTCAAGAGCACCCTGCAGGAGAAGACCGAGGAGATCAAGGCCAGCTACGAGTGCATCTGCAAGGCCTCCCTGGAGCTGAAAAGCAGCAAGAAGCTGGCCAAGATCCTGGAGGTCAGAGCGCTCCCTGCTCCTGGTGGAGTCACCGCTGGCCCCCAGCACTGCCCAGGAGCAGCTCCAGCCCCGTGGCTGTGCCCCACATTTGGGCAGCATTGCAGGCTGGTCCCTCTGCACCCCCACACTGCCTGTCCCCCTCAGAGGCATTTTTGGGGTCCTGGGATGGGCTGTGCCTGGCAGAGAGAACAAATTCCACCGCAGGTCCTCCAGGACCCTCCTCAGATGAGCTGTCCAAATTGCTGTTAATTCATTTAAAAAAAAGCAGGTGGGACAAACGAGGTCGCAGTGTGCTCAGAGGCATTTGCAGATGGGTGGTGGAATTCCTCAGTAGCTCCTGGCCAGTGACCCCCACCGGTCCCTTAAATCCGTGAGGGCAACGCTTGTCTGCACACCGATGGGTGGGGAGCAGGAATTCAGTCCCAGGAGCTGGGAGGGCACAGGGGCAGGAGGTGCCCACCCCTCATTCTCTCCTCTTTGCAGTTCGTGCTGGCCATGGGAAACTACCTGAACAACGGGCAGCCCAAGACCAGCAAAACCACGGGCTTCAAAATCAACTTCCTGACCGAGGTGAGGGGAGCCAGGCTGGCTCCCGGGGCAGGGCACCGAGCTGGGAGCTCCCTTTGCCCACCAAAGCTGTTCCCACTCAGCCCGGGGGGCAGGAGGGCTGCAGGGGCACTGCAGAGAGGCTCTGCTGGGAGCTCTGCCCACCCCAGGCTGGCCAGGGTGGGTTGGGTGGGAAAAGGTCCTCACCCCGCTGGGGCTGCGGTGGGACTGTGGCTATTGGACACAAAATGGGTACACAGGAGATTGGTGAGTTCAAAGGAGAAAAATAGAGAGTTCTATTCGAACATCTGGTATTTATAGAACTCCAGAGGTGACCGTGGATTGAGGATGGAATTACCACCTCTCCAACCACACTGGTCAAACCAACAGTCTGTTAATTCTTCTCACAAAGAAGAATGCAAAACAATCATTATTTACATGAACAGTGTGTGAGAACTCCAGCAGAAATACGCAAACAGATCAGAAGGCTGAAGAAGTTTTATGAGAACCTTAAAACTTTTAAAAGAACTATAAAAGAAAATGTAACACTTTTAAAAATCAGGGCAACATGGGACTCCTGAGGGGTGGGGACAGGGGGACAGCCCTGCCCTGCAGGGGGGCATTGCCACAGCACTAATGGGGGCACAGAGGTGTGCAAAGATGAAATGTGCAGTTTAACCATCACCAGCACGTGGGGCTGAGCCCCGCTCCCTCTGCAGGGGGGTCCTCACTCCTTCTGCTTTGCTGCAGCTGAACACGACCAAGACTGTCGATGGGAAATCCACCTTCCTGCACATTCTTGCCAAATCCCTCAGCCAACACTTCCCAGAGCTCCTGGGCTTTGCCAAGGACCTCCCGACGGTGCCGCTGGCAGCCAAAGGTAAAGGACCAGAAGCAGCTGCAGGCCCTGCATGGCCCTGCACTGCCCCTGGGCTCAGCCAGGAGCTGCACAGCCTTGGCAGGGGCAGGATGGAGCCAGGGCAGGGCAGGGATGGTCCTGAGCAGGAGCAGAGCCTCAGGCAGGGCTGAGCTCGGTGACAGGGAGGTGCCACCCACCCCACGCCGCTGCCTGGCCGAGGCTCTGTCCCTGCCCTGCTGCTCCCTTCTGCCCTGGAACGCCGATTCCCGAGTTCAGAGGCATCTCAGAAGTGCCAGGGGATGTGCCCAGCCTCACCCAGGTGTGCAGGGGCTGCTGCAGGTGCCAGCACGGCGGTGCCACAGTCACCTGTGCCGCAGGACCTCGGGGAGGGCTCATGCTTCAGTCACACCTTGAACGAGGCCCCTCCAGCCCAGATTTCTGCAAGGAAAAGCAGCCACACTCCTGCTGGAGGTGTTCTCCATGTTTGGAGCTGTCTGGGGGTGTCACAGGAGGCTGGGCAGGTGACACAGCAGCAGGATAGTGCCCGTCCCCGTGCTGGCACTGCTGGGGAACCTCCAGTGCTGGGGCAGCTCTGGGCTCTCCCAACAGGGACAGCGAGGGGCTGGAGCATGGCCAGGGAAGGGAAGGGGCTGGAGAATCCCTGAGGGAGCTGGGAAGGGGCTGAGCCTGGAGAAAAGGGGGATCAGGGGGGACCTTGTGGCTCTGCACAACTCCTGCCAGGAGGGGACAGCCGGGGGGTCGGGCTGTGCTCCAGGGACAGGGACAGGAGCAGAGGGAACAGCCCCAGGCTGGGCCAGGGCAGCTCAGGGTGGGATTTTAGGGAAAATTCCTCCCTGGAAATGCCGCCCAACCCTGGGACGGCTGCCCAGGGCAGGGATGGAGTGCCCATCCCCGGAGGGATTTAAAAGCTGTGTGGATGTGGCACCTGGGGACAGGGCTCGGGTTAGTGGTGGCTTTGGCAGTGCTGGGGAAACACTTGGGCTGGATGACCTTAGAGGCTTTCCCACCCTAAGTGATTCCACGATTCTGTGCTTTTAAATGACGCATTGAATCTCTACAAAGCTGGAGCTGCATTCCCCTTGCACACCATCCACGGTGTTGGTGAGCAATTCCCTTGGGAATTAGTGCTGGAGGGGATAAATAAGGAGCAGGCTCCAGCCCGGAGCTGTGCATTTCCGCTGGAGGAACGTCTGCACCTGGAGCTTTCCCAGCTGGAATTTCTCTCTGGCCTAACTCCTAAATAACCCTTCCATCACTGGAGCTCCCGGCTGCCCAAACTCCTGCCACTGTGTCCCCCTTGTCCTGGTGTCCCGTGTCCCTCCTGTCCCCTGGGTGCTCCTTGGCGTGTTTTGTCCCTCCTGGCACCTCTGGCTGTGGGCACCAGGAGCTCCTGGGCTGGCTGCCCACCCTGCCCGGCCAGCAGGGCACTGGTGCAGAGCAGCACAGACAGACAGACAGACAGACAGCCAGGCTGAGCCGTGGCAGCAGCCCCAGCCTCATGCCCAGCCCTGCTGAGCCCTCTGTGCCCTGCAGTGAACCAGAGGACGCTGACAGCTGAGCTGAAGGACCTGCACAGCACGGTGGGGGACATCCAGAAGGCCTGCCACAGCATGCCAGCCTCCGCCGAGGACAGGTTTGCCGTCGTCATGAGCGTATCCTTCCCTGAGAGGGGCCAGCCTGGCACCGAGTGCCCTCCCTGGGACCCCACCGCTGCCCAGGGCTGGGGCTGGCACTGCTGGGGAGCTGCCCCCGCTCTCACCAGGGTGGGCAGCAGGTTTGGTGGTGCCCCTGCGTGGCACAGCCCCGGGGAACTGGGGACTTCTGTCCTTGGCACCAGCTGAGCCTGCCAGCACCTCCACCAGCAGCTCCCTGCTGCCAGCTGGGCTGCAGCCCAGGCAGGGGATAGGAGGTTGATAAGGCCTTTGATAAGAGGTTGATAAGGGACTGGGATCCCTGGCAGAGGCGTAGAGCAGCTCTTTGGTCCTTAAGCCGATCCCTGCAGTCCTTCCTGGAGAGTGCCCAGCCCGCCATGCGCTCCCTGGACGACCTGCAGCACAAGGCCATGGAGGAGTTCAGCAAGGTGCTCTCCTTCTTTGGGGAAGACTCAAAAATGACAACTTCCGAAGCCTTCTTTGGCATTTTTGCAGAATTCATGAGCAAGTTTGAGGTGAGTTGAACCTTCCTGAGGCAGCCAGGTCCCTCCTGTGGGTGTCAGTGAGGTGTGTTATTTGTGTGTGAGTGGGATGGGCTTTTGTGAGCAGCTGCACCCGAGTTAGAGAAAACTTTTCTAAAGCTGATAAGGTGCAATTTTTCTAACATACAGATCAGCTGGCCAGGGTGGGACCCAGAGGGAGGCCCCAGGGGAGAGTGATGTGGTTGTTCATGGACTCCTGGAATGGTTTGGCTTGGAAGGGACCTTAAAGGTCACCCCATGTTCCACCCCCTGCCCTGGGCAGGGACATTTCCACTGTCCCAGGGTGCTCCAAGCCCCATCCAGCCTGGCCTTGGGCACTGCCAGGGATCCAGGGGCAGCCCCAGCTGCTCTGGGCACCTGTGCCAGTGCCCTGCTGCCACAGCAGCCCCGCTCAGCGCTGCCCTCCGTGTCCCACAGCGGGCTCTCAGTGACGTGCAGGGGGGCGAGAGCCAGCGCAGCCCCAGGATGACGTCCCCCCTCGCCTGGTGACAGCCTGAAGCCACCCGAGGTGCAACAACCCATTGCCAACAAAGTGCAATTTGCTCCTGTGCAGTCTGGTTGGAAATACGCCGCTGCCACCACCCAGCAGAGCCACGGAGGAGGGGTCGGGGCAGGTGGGCACTGAGAAGGCACCGCGGGTGACAGAGGGTGACGTGAGGGTGACACGGAGATAAACCCTGTGCTGGTCCTGACAGAGCTTCCTTAGCGCCCTCCCTTTGCATCCATCCGGTAAAATGGGGGTTTCACGTCCATCCGGTAAAATCCCACTGTCACACATTTCCCAACCACTGTAACCGGCCCCGGCAGCTGCTGGAGACCCTCCCACACCCCCACGGCCCCTGCCCGGCGTGGGGGCTCTGCCCGGGCAGCCGTGGGGTGGGGAGAGCCCAGCCAGAGTCCCCGGGAAGGCAGAGGGGGTCAGCAGGGCAGGGAGCGTGGGGGGACGAGCAGGACAGCGGCCACCTCCACTCCTCTGGGACCCTGAGGACGCTGCTGAGCCTGTCCAGCCCCTCTCCGAGCCCCCCTGCGCTGGGGCAGAGCACGGGGGGCAGACGGGAACAGTGGAGCAGAGATCAGCAGAGGTGGCCGGGAAGCCTCAGTTCCCTTCCCCTGCCAGCCGGTGGCCGTGGAAAGCAGCAGGAGCTGGCAGGACCCTCCTGGCACACCCGTGCGGTCCCGAGGAGGGATCCGGGCTGGTCCTTCAGCTCCCGGGTCCTTCCTGGCCCTCAGCTCTGCTGAACGCTGTGCCAGAGGCTGAGGGACCCTGAAACCCTCCCGAGAGAGAAGCAGCAGCAGCGCGGGGCTATCGGACCTCACCAGCAAACAGCCCCGAGAGCCCCAAAACCAGCGGGATCCTCCGCAGGCGCTGCTGCAAGGCACGGCACAGGCAGCGGGGCCATCCCCGCCTGCTGCAGCCCCGGGAGCCCCGGAGCTGCGGGGCCGGTTCTGCTGGGGATGTCCCACGGACCGCCCGAAGTGTCCGCGGCCACCTCCCGGTGTGCACATCCCCTTCCCGGTGTGCACATCCCCTTCCCGGTGTGCACATCCCCTTCCCGGTGTGCACATTCCCTTCCCGGTGTGCACATCCCCTTCCCGGTGTGCACATTCCCCTTCCCGTTGTGCACACCCATCTCCCGGTGTGCAAACCCACCTCTCGGTGTGCACATCCCCTTCCCGGTGTGCACATCCCCTTCCCGGTGTGCACATCCCCTTCCCGGTGTGCACACCCATCTCCCGGTGTGCACATCCCCTTCCCACCGTGCACATCCCCTTCCCACCGTACACATCCCCTTCCCGGTGTGCACACCCATCTCCCGGTGTGCACATCCCCTTCCCGGTGTGCAAACCCACCTCTCGGTGTGCACACCCATCTCCCGGTGCGCACATCCCCTTCCCGGTGTGCACACCCACCTCCCGGTGTGCACACCCACCTCCCGGTGTGCACACCCACCTCCCGGTGTGCACATCCCCTTCCCGGTGTGCACACCCGTCTCCCGGTGCTCCCCCCACCTCCCGGTGCCCCCCTCCCGCTGTTCCCGTCCCCTCTCCCGTGGCCTGGCTGTCTCTCTCGGCTGCCCGCATCCCGGGCCGGTGCCCGCGGGGCTCTCGGTGCTTTCCGGCCCTGCCCTCCGCGCAAACCGCCCCGGTGTGCCCCGGCCCCGTTCCCGCAGCACCCCCGCACCGCCGCAGGGCTCCTCCTGCAGCCCCCGCCCAAGGGCGCAGTCACCGAGCGGTGCGTTACTGACCGGACACCTCACCGGACACCTCACGGATCTCCGGGTTTGGGGAGTTTTTTAAACCCCGCTCTAGAAAGTGCAGTATATTTTCACAAGTGTTCTCCGTTTATACAGCTTGAAGTGCCAGGTAGTGGGTAGCCTTGTGTTCCAGAGGTCCAGGACAGGGCCATGCTCCCTCTGCTCCTCTTTCCCTTTTGCACACTGCATTCCGTTGATTTTTTTTTTCTTTTCTTTTTTACCATATCCAATATTTAAACCACCAGAGGTCCTTTTGAAACTGTCCTGACAGAAGATGCTGTACATAGATTTTGCTACGTGTTGTAACTTTCTGAAATAGTTAGAACTCCAATCCCTTTGGTATTTTTTATGTGAATATTTTCAAAGAGCCAGAACTTCTGGTGAAATGATTTGATAATGGGACGATGTACATTCACAGTTCAGTCTCTACCCAATGCCGTTGTGCTATTCCTAAAATAAAGCTACTGCCTTCTGCCTCCTGACTGCGCAGACCTCTGTCCAGAAGTGCCGCTGGTGATGGTGGGAGGGATCCTGCACCTCCTCCTCTGCCCTTGTTAATCCCGGCCCCGACACCTGCAGGGTCTCACCTGGCCGGGCCGGGGCTGGTGTGGACAAGGACGTTCCTGCACCGCAGCATCCATGCTGCAGGGATCGAAATCAGCAGCAAATTCTTAAAATAGCACGGATTTTTAACTCCAGCCTTCAGCAGAAAACATTTAGTGAACTGTATGAACCAGTGAATTGTTTCCCTCTGAGAAAGAATTCTCGGCCGAGGCTGCATTTGTGTCCCGGGGCGGTTTATCCCCGTGGCACTGGGAGCAGGGCACAGGGGCAGCTCCCGCATTGTCCCCTGCTGGGCACGGGCACCTCCTTCCCTCCCTGGGGGCTCTGAAACCACGGGCTGCGCTCCGGGGAGCAGAGAGGGCGCACCCGGTGATCTCCCAAGGGTGCCGTGCAACCCGAGCCACCCTGAAATTCCATTTGAAGTGCTCCGACCCCTCCTGCCCCGCAGGGACCGGCCCAGCGCGGCTGTCGCAGCTGCAGCGCCCGGGCTGAGGCCATAAAGCGGCAGGAATGATGTCCCAATGTCCCAGAGCCCCATTCCCCACGTCCCACACCGCGCCCACGCCGTTCCCTGCACGCTCCCCTTCTCCTGGAGACTTTTTTAGCAGCCACGAGGTAATTCCTGCCCGGAGCCGGCACCTTTGAGCCTCAGGCAGAATTCCTGCGTCAGCCCTGAGCACAGGATCATCCCCCAGGAAAGGCTGGAAAGGAAATAACAACCCTGGCAGCAGCCAGGGCAGGGCAGGGCAGGGCAGGGAGCGCAGCCCCGGCTCTCCTGCTCCAGGGGTGCCACTCTGAGCCACCAGGGATCGGTGCCCCTGGAAATCCCAGCCTGCCTTCCAAACCTCGGGTGGTTCTGGCATTTCACTCTTTCCTGCAAGAAGCAGAGGGGGAAAGACCTCCGAGAGGTCAGGGGGGATCACAGCTGGACACATCTGCAGCAGGCACCTCCAAGGCAAGGTGGAACCAGCCGGGAACCTCCCTCTACGTACCTTGATTGTGGCTGGAGGGGCCACGGGCTGGAATCGCTCTCCAGGTGCCCTGAAAGATGCCAAAGGGACAAAGAAGGAGCTCAGCTTCAGGCTGGGAGGGCTGTGAGTCAGGGGAAAAAGGGGCATAGATGGGGAGGCAGCACAAGGCACCTACAGCACCTTTAGGATCCAACTTTAGGAAAATTAGGGGTTTCCAAGTCATAGCAGATCAAATGAACACATCTCCAATTGCGAGATTCAAAGAGCTACAGTTCATGTCCATCAGAGTTGTGACTGGCAAACAATGAGGTAAAATACAGACACTGTTTTTTTCATGGAATCATCAAGTTTGCACTGGAAGGGACTTTGGGGATCATCCACCCCTAACCCCTGCCATGGGCAGGGACACCTTCCACTGTCCCAGGCTGCTGCAAACCCTGTCCAGCCTGGCCTTGGGCATTTCCAGGGATGGAGAAGCCACAGCTTCTCCTGCGCCAGGGCCTCCCCACCCTTCCAGGGAAGAATTTATTCCCAATATCCCAGCTAACCCTGCCCCTGGCAGGTTAAAACACCCCTTAGCAGGTCACCCACAGTGAAATCCCTGCTGGTAACTTCAAGGCTGGGCATGGATGAGGCTTGTGAGGGCACGGTGCCCAATCTCCATCTGCCTCCAGGCTCGTGGGTCATCTGCCCAGCCAGGGGCTCCTCAGTAGTGCTGCTGAGGATTTGGGCCCCCCCGTTCCAGGGATTGATCAGCTGCTCCTCCCACAGTCACTGTGCTGCGAGGTCCCTCCTCAGTGTCACTCTCTGTGTGTTTTGGCCCTGTTTGTCAGGGATTTCAGGCAGATGATGCTCAAGACAAACCTCCAGCCAGAGAGGGACTGGGTTCTGGGATGAACCTACAGCCCCAGCAGGGTGTTACAGACAGCAGCCCACGGATGGGTCCTGCGCTCTGCGAGGCTCAGGCACAACCCCAGAGACAGGACTGGCTGTCAGCTCCTCCCTGTGCCACGGGCTGTCAGCTCCAGAGGACACCAGCCCCGATTTTTTATTGTTCTGTGTCCCTCGCACAGATTGCTTAAGAGCATGGCACTCCGTGGAGTTTGACCCGGGAGCCCTGATAGTGAAAATAATGCACTTCTCACCAGAGCCACGGGAGACCAAAAGAGTAACTTCGGTCAATTAGTTTAACTTTGACTATAAATATTCCTTCTCATTCCTTGTGACCCTGTTAACAGCTCCGCTGGCAGAGCCCGATTCTCTGGCAATATTTAAGCTGCCTGTCAGTTGGCAGAGCCCTGCTGGTGCCCGGCGCGGGGAGCAGGATAAGACCCGGCTGAGCGCAGTAAGTTCCTTTCGGCTTCTCCCTCGGGTTCGGGGCTCCGCTGGGCTGCGCTGAGCCCCGGCGGTGGCCGGAGGAGGCGGATGGAGCTCTGGGGATGCTTTGAACCCCCCGGAGGAGGATTTGGGGCGCTGAGGTCCCCGTTACTCGGAGCCACGTGGGCTGCGGCTGCAGCAGCTTCATTCCCATGCCACGGATGTTCCTTCCTCACAATCTCTGGCGAGGAAAGCGCCGCCGCCTGTGCCAGGCACCGGGGGACAGCGGGCTGTGAGCTGAATTCACAAAAGGGGCAAAATTTCCACTGGGATCTGGGAACCCGCGGCGCTTTCCTGCCCCGGGAGGAGCCGGAGCGGCACCTGCGGCAGTCCGGGAATGGCCCGGAGGGCATCTGCCCTTCCTCCTGTGCCGCGGGCACGGCAGGTGTGCGGGGCTGTGCCCCTGTCCCACACCTCCGGAGGGACAGACGGACACGGCTGTGCCCCTGTCCCACACCTCCGGAGGGACAGACAGACACAGCTGTGCCCCTGTCCCACACCTCCGGAGGGACAGACAGACACGGCTGTGCCCTGTCCCACACCTCCGGAGGGACAGACGGACACGGCTGTGCCCCTGTCCCACACCTCCGGAGGGACAGACGGACACGGCTGTGCCCCTGTCCCACACCTCCCGAGGGACAGACAGACACGGCTGTGTTCTGCCCCACACCTCCGGAGGGACAGACGGACACGGCTGTGCCCCTGTCCCACAGCTCCGGAGGGACAGACGGACACGGCTGTGCCCTGTCCCACACCTCTGGAGGGACAGCCACAGCCCTGTCCCTCCCGGGGGCCCAGCCCAGCTGCCCCCGCGCTGTGACCCGAGGTGGACTCGGGTGATCCCTGTGGGTTCCTTCCCAGCTTGGGAGACCCCCTGATCCCGAGATCCCCCGATCCCGAGACTCCCCAGTCCCGAGATCCCCGATCCCAAGATCCCAAATCCTGAGATCCCCCAATCCCAAGATCCCTGATCCCAAGATCCCCTGATCCTGAGATCCCAAATCCCGAGATCCCCAATCCCGCGATTCTGCAGCCCTGCTCCACGGCTCCTCGGGGGAAGGTGTCCCGGCTGGAAGGAGCCAGCGGTGCCGGGGACAGCTGGAGGTGTGGGGTCAGCAGCGTCCCAGGCTGACATACCAAACCCTGTTTTTCCTTTCCTAGTTAGAGCTTAGGCGTGCCAGTAAAAACTCAGCGGCAGCCAAGACACATTGGCCCTTAAAGAGGTAAGACAGCAGCGCTCTGGTCACCAGCGGCCTGTGTCCCCGCCAGGCAGGAGCTCCCTGGGGATCCAGAGGGATCCAGGGGGCTCCCAGAGTGTGGAAAAGGCTCTGCCGAGGTGCTGAGGGTGCCCTCAGCCGGATCACGGCTCTGAACCCGCTCTGGCACCCGGGCTGGAGCTGCAGAGCCAGGCACAGCTCCAGCTGTGGGACACGGGCACTGGGACGGTTCCTGCCGCTGGGAACTCCTTATTTATCGCCGATCTTTGGAAATGCATGAGCCCAGCGGTGCTGCAGGACACGGGGCAGGCCGTGCCCTCCTCAGCCTCCAGCACCTCCATCCTCCAGCTCCTCTCTGCTGCTCTCCTGCCTCACCCGCTGGGCGGTGCCACCGGGCAGGGCTGTGGCCGCTCAGGCTCTGGGCAGGTGCTGAGGCCACAGGTGAGCTGAGGGCAGGTGCAGCTCAGCCCCACGGCTGCGGAGGTGCTGTGGCACCCGTGGGACAGCCCCGGGCTGGCTTTGCTGCCCCCGGCTCAGAGGAAGAACTTGTCCGACCGCCCGCGATCCGTGCCGGCTGTCCCGGCACCTGCCACACCTCCAGCAGCCTTGGGGCAGCCTATAAGTGCTCCCCACAAGTGCCAGAGAGGCCAAAGGAGCCGGCCAGGCGCGCAGGAAGGGACCAGCGGATGCCCGGCGGTGACACCGGGTGACACCGGGGCTGCCTGGCCCCAGGCTGGTGACTGCTCCTCCCGGGGAGCCCTCTCCTCGCTCAGCAGGGTAAGAGGAACGATCCCAAACCTGCTCCTTGGGGACTGACTGCTGCCACTGCCGAGCCAGGGACCGCCCAGGTGGCCTCGGCTGCCTCTCACCTCCTGTCCCGCTCTCAAAGCGTCCCCGAGCTGAGGGAAGGAGGAAATGGGGAGGAACAATCCATTCAAACACCCGACCAACCTCCCTGCTGGACTTCATCCTTCATCCTTTCTGCCAAGGGGCAGCACCACGGGATGCTCCAGGGAGCCCTTCCAGGGATGCCACAGTGATGCCACACTTCACCATCAGGGTTTCTGGAGAAGGAAATGGGGTTTTGTATTCCTTGGTGACACTGCCAGCTCCTGACAAGGAGCAGGGGACAATTCCCTGGCTCAGGAGGAGACCCAAGTGCTCTGCACAGGGCTCGAGCTCTTGCTGTGGCAAAGGAGGAGAATGCCAGCACTGTCAGGACTCTTCAGGTGCCACCACATTCTGCTGGCATGTGAGGGACACGGTTCTGGCAGCAGCTCCTGACTGGGGCCAGTCCTGCAGTGCTGTAACCCCAGCTCTGCTCCTTCCCTCTGCCTGTTCCAGCTGTTTGCACCTTCTTGCTAAGCCCCCACTTCTCAGCAGTCAGAAAACCACCCAAGAGATCCACCAGCGCAGCCCGCCAGCCCCTGGCAGCATCTCATCGCAGCGAGGGAGTCGTGCGTGGGGACAAATGACAGAGCCAGGAGCTGCCCCAGAGCTCTGGCAGCAGCAGCAGCAGCTCCTGAACTCCCCAAACCCAGCCCCCCTGCCCGGGCTTTCCCTGGCAGTCACCCCTCCTTCCACAGGTGCACGCAGCAGGACAGGAGAGCCTGGGAAGCCATGGAGCCCAGCAGCGTCCCCCCGGCCTCCGGGAGCCCCCCGTGGGACGTGTTCCCCCAGCAGACGCTGGAGCCCGTGGACATCGCCGTGCTCGTGCTCTATTTCCTCTTCGTGCTCGCCGTGGGGCTCTGGGTGAGCAGAACTCCAAACGGGCCCCGTGAGGCTGGAAAAGGGGCTGCAATGGGGCTGCTTCCCCCTGCACTCAGCTGGACAAGGAGCAGGGGGTTCACAGCTCCTTGTCCTCCCCTCAGCCTGGGAAGTGTCCTCACTGTCCCCGGGGAGCGCCCAGGCCCTGTTAGCCAAGGTTTGGAGAACCCTTGTGAGGAAGAGGCTGGCTGAGTACAAACTATTGCTAACAATGATGTTTTGTTCATCCAGGAAGGAATTGCTGGCCTATAAATCACCTGTGCTTGTCCAGAGGGGTCCTGACAGCGCTGACAGCAGATTCCTTGAATTATTAACATTCTCTATATATAATTTAGGCAGAAGGACATCCTTTGGCGTGGCTTTTGCAGCAGCCAGGCTGTGGGGAGGCAGAGAGGAGCAGCTGCTCCCCTTGGCCGTGGTGCACGGCTCCCAGAGTATTGCAGGGGTCATCTCTGGGGAGGGGGAGCCACGAGCCACACGTGCAGTGCCCAGCATTCCTCCCGGGCGCTCCTGGTGCCCGGGATTCTGCAGTCCTTGCCCAGAACTGCTTCCCTTCCTTTCTGGAGCGATGGAGTTTGCTGGTTGCACAAAACATTCCACCAGGGTGCCGAGGAGATGGAGCCCTGCCTGCGGCTCAGGGCACATCCCCCAGCCCCAGCACTTCCAGCAGCAAGGGTCGCTCAGGAAATCCCTCTGCTCCGGCTGGGGCAGCTCAGGGGCTCTGCCGGGCAGTGCCCGGGTGCAGCCTGAGCCGTGCCCCTCTCTGTGCCCGCAGTCCATGTGGAAGACACAGCGCAGCACCGTCAAGGGCTATTTCCTCGCCGGGGGACAGATGGTCTGGTGGCCTGTGAGTACCCCTGTGCCCCCTGCCCACAGCCCTGAGCTGCACCGACACTTCTGCTGCGCGCTGCCCGCTTCCCCAGACAGGAATAAACAACCAGAAGTTCCTCCTGTGCTTTGCCACTTTCCTCTTGGCTTTTTCCCGGATTTGGGAGTGCCCAGCCCAGTGCCTCACCAAACCTGGCTGCTTCTGGAGGTTTCCAGAGCTCCCTGGGCCCCCAGCACGGACACAGCTTTGTGCTGAGCCTGTCCTGGCCGGGCTGGCTCATCTGGGCTGGGCTGGGCTGGTCCCTCAGCAGGTGCTGATGCCAGAACCTGACATTTCGTCCTGTTCCCCTCACCTCCTCTGCTCACCCATACACTGGATGCTTTGGAAACAGGATGGTCCCAAACACACCCCAAAATTGGCTGAAAGAAGCTGGAGAGAGGTGCCAAGGCCACTGAACCTGTAGGGAAAAGAAGGAGGTGGCAGAGGCTGCCAAGGATTCCGTGTCCTCTGCAGCCAGCAGTGGGAACAGCTTCCCTGTGCTCCCGTGCCAGGGCCAGAGCTGGTTTCTCCCTTTCCCCAGGTGGGCGCATCCCTGTTTGCCAGCAACGTGGGCAGCGGGCACTTCATCGGCCTGGCGGGCTCGGGAGCGGCCTCGGGCATTGCGGCCACAGCCTACGAGTGGAACGTGAGTGGGCACTGCCAGCTGGAGCCCTCCGTGCCCTCCCTGCCCTGCAGGACAGCGGGCAGGACCCGGTCCCGCTGCGGGCTGGCAGTGCCCAGCTGCGGGGACACCTTACCCAGCCCAGCCCGGAGCCCCCTCTGACCTCCCCTCCCTCCCTCCCTTCCCTCGGCAGGGGATGTTCTGTGTCCTGGTGCTGGCCTGGCTCTTCCTGCCCATCTACATCGCCTCGGGGGTAGGTGGGGCTGGGTGTGCCCGGGGTGGCGATGGATGGACTCCCTCCGCTGCTGCCCTGGCCTGGCTGGGCTGGCAGAGCTGCTGGCAGGGGGCTCGGGCTGCCCCCAGCCCCTGGCACCGAGCAGAGCCCCCCCATGTCCCGGGGATGGGGATGGAGACCCTCGGTGGACGCAGAGCCCCGTGCCCGCATCGCAGCGGAGCCAAACGCCAGCCCAGGGCAGCCCCGGGGCTCTCCTGCTCCTGCCCCCCTCCAAACACCCCCAAGCTCCATGGGGAGCCCCTGGCAGCTCTGGGAATGCCCCAGGGGCTGTCCCACCTGCCCTCACCCCGTGTCCCTCCCTAGGTTACAACCATGCCCGAGTATTTGCAGAGACGTTTTGGAGGCAAAAGAATTCAGATATTCCTGGCCATTCTCTACTTGTTCATCTACATCTTCACCAAAATATCTGTAAGTAGAAAAAAAAAAAAAAAAAAAAAAGGGAAACGGATTGGTTTGAACTCACTTTGGAAATGTGTGCTGAGCAGTGAGGCTGAGAAACGCAAGGGGTGGCTCTGCCTGGGTGAGCAGAGATGGGTTTGTGATCAAAACACCAAGGAAGAGACTCTGGTTTTTTGAGAGCCTGCACAAAAAGGAGCAGCTTCTCTTTTTTTGCTCAGGTAGCACCTGAACGCGAGCAGGGGGAGGGGAAGCTGTGTCAGTGTCCTGAGCAATAGTCCATGGCAGGGTGAGGCTGTGAGGGGGATGTGGTGCTTGGCAGATTTTGCACCCCGGGCAGCTCCCCCAGTTTCTCCCTTTGCACATTTTTTGCCTGTGCAGAGCCCGGGCGCTGTTGTGGCAGAATGGAGGAGCTGGGACAGGGTTAGAGGAGACTCTTCATTCCTTTGTTGGCCTGTTTGAATCAATAACTGAGGGGAGCCTTGCACAAGAGCTCGGTGGCTGTTCATTAACTGCCAGCCAGGGCACGGAGCGTGCATCCCTGCTGGGCATTGTCCTGTCCCACGGGGGGACACGGTGTCTGACCCTGCTCTGAACCTCCCAAAACTTCTGGAGCACACAGGGAGCGGCTTCCCAGGGCCGGAGGGCAGGCTTGGATGGGATGCTGGGCAGGAATTCTTCCTGGGCAGATGGGAGGCACAGAGCACTGGGGCTGCCCCGGGTCCCTGGCAGTGCCCAAGGCCGGGCTGGACAGGGCTTGGGGCAGCCTGGGGCAGGGAAGGTGTCCCTGCCATGGCAGGGGTGGGATGGGATGGCCTTTAGGGTCTCTTCCCACCCAAACCACTGCAGGGCTGTATGGAAAGGCTGTGTGAGCCCCAGGGTGGCACCGCTGGGGAAGGCTCAGCTGCTCTGGGTTGAACGGGATAGATCCATTTCCATCTGCTGGGACGTGGCAGAGTGCAGGATGCTCTCACCTCTCTGTCCCCCTCTGCCTGTCCCGCAGCACTGTCAGAGCTGCAGAGCTGGTTGGGCAGGGCTGGCCCAGCCCTGGGGACACTTCTGCTGCTGATCTCCCTGTCCCCATGGCAGCAGGGACAATTCCCGGGGGGCAGCCGGGCAGGGGGGTTGCAGGGCAGATTCCCCAGTCCCTGCCCAGCTCAGCTCCCCACCCTGGGCTGGGGGAGAGAGAGAAGCTCAGCCCACCCCAGAGCCTTTGTCCCCTCTGGTGACAGCCCTGCCACCCCCTCGCTGCCACCGCTGGCACCAGCAGCAGTGACAAACGGGCTGAGGAATGGTCCTGGTCCTGCTCTGGGGCCGGGGCCATGTCCAAACCGGGCTGGGCCCAGGAAAGGGGGGGGTTTGGGGGCTGGATGTGCACATGGTGGGGCTGGGTGGTGCTGTCCTGCAGTGTGACTGTCCCTGCAGTGTGTGACTGTCCCTGCTGTCCCTGCAGTGTGTGGCTGTCCCTGCAGTGTGTGACTGACTGTCCCTGCAGTGTGTGACTGACTGTCCCTGCAGTGTGTGACTGTCCCTGCAGTGTGTGACTGACTGTCCCTGCTGTCCCTGCAGCGTGTGACCGTCCCTCTGACCTGCAGGTGGACATGTACGCCGGGGCCCTGTTCATCCAGCAGGCCCTGCACTGGGACCTGTACATCGCCGTGGCCGGGCTGCTGGCCATCACTGCCGTGTACACCGTGGCCGGTGGGTGCTGGGGACACGCCTGACGCTGGCCAGCGGTGACCAGTGGTGACCAGACCCTGCACTGACCTTGCCCTGCCCTGCCCTGCCCAGTCTGCTGAGACATTCCGGTGTCCCAGACCTGCCTGGATGGGCTTGGGGCAGCCTGGGACACTGGAAGGTGTCGCTGCCATGGCAGGGGTGGCACTGGGTGGGCTTTGAGGCCCCTTCCCACCCAAACCACCCTGGCACTCCATGGTTCATGCCATGCCCTGTGTCCTGCCCACAGCAGCCTGGCTGTGCCGTGAGGGTGGGTGCTGGGGTGGGAAGGGAATTGAAAACTCACAATTTTAGAAGAAATTGCCAGGTGAGGGTGAGTGAAGCCTCCTCAGGGGCGGCCCCAGGTGGGTGCAGGTCTGCTCTGCCTCGAGGAGCAGCCCTGCCAAGGCATTCTCAGGGCACACTTGCCCGGTTTCCCCAGTCCCCGGAGGTGTGGGGGATTTGCACCACAATGAGCCGAGTAATGCAGAAAGGCTCCAGGCTTGGATGCCCTTTCAGGGCTTAGGAGTGGCCAAATGGAAAAGAGCCACACAGAAATCCCTGACAAATAAAGGTTATTCCTTTCCCACTGCTCACCCCCAGTGATGTAAATCACAACCCCTTTTTTTCCCTCCTTTTTTTCCTCCTCCTTTTTCAGCTTGGGCTTTGTTTTAGAGCTTTTCCATGGATTTCCCGTAGAACTACTTCTGCTTTTGGCTTATAGTGACAAAACGGTGACTCAGAAATCCTCAGAAATTCCAAAGTGACGTTGGCCAAGGTTGCCCCCAGCATGGGCAGAACCCCAGGCAGGCTCAGGGCAGGAACCTGTGCAAAGTGTGAAGTGCTGTGGCAGAACAGGCCCAGTTCACGCCAGTTTGTGCCCTCTGCTCTCCAGGTGGGCTGGCAGCCGTGATCTACACTGATGCTCTGCAGACCCTCATCATGCTCATCGGGGCCGTGTCCCTCATGGTCTTCAGTGAGTGTTCCCCTGGGCTTTGTCGCTTACACTGTGACAGAAGCCTCATCAACTTACATATGAGGGAGGAATCCTTCCCTGGCAGGGTGGGCAGCCCCTGGCACAGGTGCCCAGAGCAGCTGGGGCTGCCCCTGGATCCCTGGAGTGTCCCAGGCCAGGCTGGACTGGGCTGGGAGCAGCTGGGATGGTGGGAGGTGTCCCTGCCACGGCAGGGGTGGCACTGGGTGGGATTTAAGATGGCACTGGGTGGAATTGAAGAGCCCTCCCCACGCAGAGCATGCCAGGATTCTGTGATTCCGTGGGAGAGGCAGCTCCTGCCCCATCCAGCAGTGAGAACCTTCCCCAGCCCCGTGTGAGAATCCAGAGCTTCTGGGTTTTCAGGAATGCTCGTGGAGCACCACCCACAGTGACCCAGAGACTGCAACCAGAGTCCTGACCTGGGGGGTGCAGTAACAGCTTCTCATGACCCATTTCAGGTTTTATTGAAGTTGGTGGCCTTGAAGGTTTACAGGCAAAATACTTTGGTGCCATTCCCAGCATCCGCAAGGAGAACAGCAGCTGTGGCCTGCCCAGGGAAGACGCTTTCCACATTTTCCGAGACCCTGTGGACTCTGACCTGCCCTGGCCAGGAGTCCTGGTGGGAATGACCATCCCATCGCTGTGGTACTGGTGCACGGACCAGGTGGGTCCCTGCTCCTTCCTGCGGCTGGGTCAATCCCATTACAAACCTGGGGGTTGCCACCTCACCTGGACTGATTTTCTGAGGGGTATCATCAGTAAAATCTTATTTTACCATCATTGAAATCAGATGGTTAAGTCCTAAAGAAGGAAATCTTGATATGCACAAGTAAATATTAGTAATCATCTCCATGGAAAAAGGGGTAAGAATGTGTTTGTGTGTTAATCCCGGTCTGTGAAGAAGTCTTTTATTTGTTTGTTTGATTTTTAACTTGATCCTTTCGTTCCTTGTGAGGCACCTGTGAATTTCTTCTCTCACCTTTCCCAGGGTCTGGCTCCCATCCCTCCCAGTGGCACCACCAGGGCCAGGGACCCGGAGCCCAAAACCCCTCCTGCTGCTCCAGCTGTGCTTTCTTGCTCTCTTATTTAACTCTGCCCATTTCAGCTCTGTCCTGCTCCTTGGCCAGGCTCCTCCACAGGGTCAGGGAAGTCCCCAGAGCAGGGAGAATGGAAAATCCTGGGCATGGGTAGGTGAGGGTCGGGCCCTGCAGCGCAGCGTCCCCCCAGGCTCGGCTGGAGCGGCACAAAGCAGAGCTGCATTTCTGAAAGGAGCCAGGATGCGAAGCCGGGGCTCCAGAGGCACGGCCAAGCTCTGGGATCCCCCTCTGAGACTCACAGGGTTCAGTGGAGACCAAAGCCAGGATGGCTCCATCCCAGGCAGCTCCTGCTGCTGGCAGCCAACAAAGCCATTCCTTCGTTCCTAGGTCATTGTTCAGAGGGCCCTCGCTGCCAAAAACCTCTCCCACGCCAAAGGAGGCTCCTTGATGACCTCCTACTTGAAGATTTTGCCCCTCTTTATGATGGTAATGCCAGGCATGATCAGCCGGGTTCTCTTCCCAGGTAAGTGCCAGGGAGAGATCTCCTCCCTCCCTCCCTCGCCTGCCCAGGGCTGGAGAAGCCTTTCCTGAGGGCTCCAGCGCTTCCAGCGCACCCAGTGCCCAACACACGAAGGAATTTCTTCCAGTGAGGGGCTGGAGGAGGCAGATCCTGCCAGGGCAGCCCCAGACATGCCCGTGCTGAGCCAGCCCCGGGTCACTGCTGGAACCCCCCGAGCTCTGCAGTGTTTCCTTTAGAAAGCAGCTCACAACGTCCAGCAGAGGAATTGCTCAGAGACACTGCTGACCTGTGCCTGGGAATGCTGCCTCTCACTCCCCACTGCTTCTTTCAGATCTGGTGGCTTGTGCAGACCCAGAAATTTGCCAAAAAATCTGCGGGAACCCCTCTGGCTGTTCTGATATCGCTTATCCCAAGCTGGTGCTGGAGCTCCTGCCTGTAGGTAAGAGCCTGGCGATGGTTCTGGCACTGTGGGGTTGGCACGTGGCAGCCACAGGCGTCTGGGAGGGAAGTTCAGAGACACAAATAGCCTGGGACTGTCATCCAGTGGGGTTTGTGTGGGACAAACCTATCAGTGTCATTTAAAATTGGAGCTAAAACCAGTTTTAAAGGTCTGTTCTGGCCCACAGAAGACCTCGAGGTCACCCTGCAGTGGAGCCACTGAGGGTTCCTCAGGGTGGCTCTGCCTCTCCTTGTCCCAGGACTCAGGGGCCTGATGATGTCCGTGATGATTGCAGCCCTCATGTCCTCCCTGACTTCCATCTTCAACAGTTCCAGCACCATTTTCACCATGGACCTCTGGAAACACTTCCGTCCTCGCTGCTCCGAGTGGGAGCTGATGGTCGTGGGCAGGTGGGGAGAGCGGGGATGGGCTGGAGCAGAGCCTGGGCACCAAACCCAGCTGGGCACAGCTGCTGAGGTGACCCCACCCCGCCCAGCTTGGGCAGGACCGCAGAGGAGGCTGCAGGGCTGTGGGACACTGAGGTTCCCCCCTCACACAGCCCCCCGAATAATCAGGCTAGCCCAGAGATCAGAGGCTGTGAGGGGAGGAATATCAGGAGATGGCAAAGATTTCCAAAAGAGGCTCTTACCCCAAGATAAGTTGGTTCAGCTCTCTTTATTCTGTGATGTCCATGTGGAGAGGGGACAAAAGAGGACGAACAGGAAATCTCAGGAAACCTATATAGATTTTGGACAGGGTGGGCTTCCCTGGCTCTCTGCCAACCCTGTTGGGGCAGAAAGGAGGGGTCCAGGGTTGTCTTGATCAGAGTCACAGGGTCCTGGGGAAGGGGGCACAGGGTGCCCATGGGCTCACTGCAACAGGACACCTCGGGGAAGGGGCACAGAGTGCCCATGAGCTCACTGCAACAGGACACTTCACTCAATCTCACCCCGAGCACAGGAGCAGCAGGGCCCGAGCTCACAGCAAGGGCCCCTTTGTGTCCCCAGGGTCTTCGTGCTGCTGCTGACCGTGGTGTCCATCCTGTGGATCCCCCTGGTGCAGGCTGGCCAGGGCGGGCAGCTCTTCATCTACATCCAGTCCATCAGCTCCTACCTGCAGCCGCCCGTGGCCGTGGTCTTCATGCTGGGCTGCTTCTGGAGGAGAGCCAACGAGAAGGTAGCGGCCGTGCCGGCCCGGGGACAGCCCTGCAGCCTGCTGGGCTTCCTCCCTTCCTCCTGCCTTCCTCCCTTCCCCAGGGTGCCTTCTGGGGGCTGCTGCTGGGGCTGCTGCTGGGCGCCGTGCGCCTGGCGCTGGACTTCGGCTACCCCGAGCCGCGCTGCGGGGAGCCCGACGGCCGGCCCGGCCTGCTCAGGCACATGCACTACCTCTACTTCTCCATGGTGCTGGCGGCCGCCACCGCCCTCGCCGTGCTCCTGGTCAGCGTGGCCACTGAGCCCCCGGCCCCCGAAATGGTGCGTTCACCCCCCTGTGCTCCCCCAGACCCAAATGCCTGCCAGGGTGCCCCAGGAGAAACAAGCTGCAGGTGCCAGCCCTGTTCACTCCTGATCTCTGCTCACCCTGTGCCCCCCAGCCCCAAATGCCTGCCAGGGTGCCCTGGGAGAAACAAGCTGCAGGTGCCAGCCCCGTTCACTCCCGATCTCTGCTCACACCTGGAGCGGTGACCCCTGCTCTGCTCTGTTTCTGGTTTGGGCCCATAAATCCCACCCTGCACACTGCTCAGCTGTAGATTCTACCAGGAGCTGCTGTTAAGGTCAAGCGTGTGTGTTTCATCCATGACAGATTAGCCTTTTCCCCTGTATTTTCCAAGAAATTCCAGCTGTTGGGCCATCTTTACCAATCTCTTACTAACTCAGCGGGGAAGGATTTCTCCTCGCAGAAAGGAGAATCCCAGTGCAGGGAGCAGCTCTGCTCTGGAGCAGGTTTGTGCCAGTCTGACTGTGTGCAGGAAGGCACTGAGAGCACGCAGGAGGGGCAGGGGCCCTCGGGGCTCACACAGCCCCACATCCCCTTGCTCCAGGCCAGGGCTGACCCTGAACTCAGAAATGCCCTGCAAGGGAGGAGTGTGATCAGTCCAGGGCTCACCTGCCCTCCCTGTAACAACTTTTCCTCATCTCCAACCTGAATCTCTCCAGCTTTATGTGCTCTCATCCCTCTCTATCCACGCTGCCATTGAGAACATCCCTCTATAATGAGTTTTTTAGATATTTGAAGGAAAAAATAACCTATTTCCCACCTGTTGCCCCTTCTCTCGGCACCCCTATTTCAAGCCAGCCCTCCCCGGCCCCAATTTCTGTTCATTGTGCTCCTCCCAGCCCTGCTCTGTCAGTCTGTGCCCAGGGGCAGAGCTCAGTACAGACCCCACAACTCATTTTTGGGCGGTGGAAGAGCCCCGGGGGACTGTCCCCGGCTGCTCCCGGGCAGGAGGGGGGATGCAGCCAGGGGCTGACAGCTGCTGACAGCTCCTTGGTGCCGCAGGTGAGTCGGCTCACCTGGTTCACCCGCGGGGATGCCCCGGCCCGCCAGGAGCCCCCAGCCAGCCCCAGCCCCGGCCCGGCCCCGCTGCAGCTGGAGCTGAGCCCCGCGGCCGAGAGCAGCCCCGACGGCAGCAAAGGTCAGTGGGGACCCCCAAAGGTCAGTGTGGGGACCCCCAAAGGTCAGTGTGGGTACCCCCCACCAAAGGTCAGTGTGGGGACTCCCAAAGGTCAGTGTGGGGACCACCCAAAGGTCAGTGCTGGGAACCCCCCCAAAGGTCAGTGTGGGGACCCTCCCAAAGGTCAGTGCTGGGAACCCCCTCCCCAAAGGTCACTGCAGCCCACGAGTGTTTCTGCAGCACACCCTGCACAGAGCAGGGTGTTCACGGCTGCATGTCTGCAGCAAAGCCTGCACCGAGCAGGGTGTTCACGGGTGTTTCTGCAGCAAAGCCTGCACAGAGCAGGGTGTTCACAGCTGCATGTCTGCAGCAAAGCCTGCACAGAGCAGGGTGTTCACGGCTGCATGTCTGCAGCAAAGTCTGCACCGAGCAGGGTGTTCATTGGAACCCACGGGTGTTTCTGCAGCAAAGCCTGCACAGAGCAGGGTGTTCACAGCTGCATGTCTGCAGCAAATCTGCACAGAGCAGGGTGTTCACGGCTGCATGTCTACAGCAAAGCCTGCACCAAACAGGGTGTTCACGGGTGTTTCTGCAGCAAAGCCTGCACAGAGCAGGGTGTTCACAGCTGCATGTCTGCAGCACACCCTGCACCGAGCCCGAGGCTGCCCTGGCCAGGCTCACCGCTCCCCTCTGCCCGCAGGAGCCGAGGCCAAGGGCCGCTGGAAGCTGCTGGGCACGGCACTGTGGCTCTGCGGGATGGAGAGCGGGCAGGAGGGGGCCCAGAGCCTGCCCAGAGCCGAGCCCGGGCCCGCGGGGTCCCTGCAGGAGGAGCCGCTGGTCAAACACCTCCTGAACGCCAACCTGCTCCTCTGCCTCTGCGCCGGGGTCTTCCTCTGGGCCTACTTCGCATAGGGGGGCTGCCGGCCCCACAGCACCACCTAACCCGAACTGCTGGAAATATTAATCATTAGCAGAGGGTCACGTAATTCCTAATGCTTTCTAAATGTTATTTCTTTATTTAAGACATTTTAAAGACATAATATTTTCCTTATTTCTAATGGGGGCTTGGCTGTGCCCGTGGCCGAGCACTTGGCACTGGCGCTGTCAGAGCCCACCTGGCACCAACCGGATGAGGAAGGTTGGTTTGGTTATTTTAAATATTTAATTTTGCTCTTTGGCCTTAGAGCACTGCCTGGAATTCAGGAAGCCTGGACTCTCTTCCTATTTATGCCTCTATAAGCAGCTACGACCACTTGGGTTCCCTCTGCTTCAGCTCCTCTGGCCTTGAGGGACAAGAGTGACACCTCGAGTGCCCAGAGCAGAGCAGGGGCTGTTGTCTGGGCTCTGCTGTGCCTGCTCAGCTCCTTCCCTGTGTGCAGTGAGTGCTGCTGGGCCTGCCCGGGACCACCAATGCTGCAATGGCAACACCAACACCAGCACCAGCCTGGAAACTGCCCCACAGCTGCTGCTGGGGGCACCTGAAGGACCTAACCCAGCCAAACCCTCCAGGGGTGCCAGGGCAGAGGTGCCCAGGGACAGCCCCTCATGGCCTGGGCACCCACGGCCCTTCTGGGAGTGCCTCAGCAGAGAACCCTGGGCTGGGACCATCGCTGATCCTGAGCTGGGACCATCGCTGACCCTGAGCTGGGACCATCGCTGACCCTGAGCTGGGACCATCGCTGACCCTGAGCTGGGACCATTGCTGATCCTGGGCTGGGACCATCGCTGATCCTGAGCTGGGACCATCGCTGATCCTGAGCTGGGACCATCGCTGATCCTGAGCTGGGACCATCGCTGACCCCGGGCTGGGACCATCGCTGATCCTGAGCTGGGACCATCGCTGATCCTGAGCTGGGACCATCGCTGATCCTGAGCTGGGACCATCGCTGACCCCGGGCTGGGACCATCGCTGACCCCGGGCTGGGACCATCGCTGGCCCTGGCCCTCGTGCAGCTGCAGAGAAACATTAAAGAGTGAGAGCTGGTCCCTGTCTGCCTGGAGTCTGTGGGGCTGGGGGGCTGCCAAGACTTCTGGGCCCCATGGGCAGGTTGGAGGAGGCTCCTCCTGGAGCCCCTCACCTGCCCTGGCTCCCTGCAGAGCCTGCTCCCCTGCCCAGAATTCATTAAACACTGCAGGGTGGGAGCAGACCTCACCCCCAGAGCTGCCAGCGCTGCGTGTGCAGGCAGTGACAACAGGCAGGAGCAGCTGGAAACCTGCAGCAGCCCACAGAGTCAGGAAATCCTCTTGTTAAACCACATAAAGGGAATTGGGAATTGGGGATCCTTCCTGAGCCTGTGAAACACTGCGGGAAACCCTGGGGGAGAGGCACTAACATCAGCATCAGTCACAGGACTGGAGTCTGTGGCTCCTCAAACTGAATTTAGAGTTACAAAGATTGGTTACAGGGCTGGGTGGTGACAGAGGAAGGTCCCAAAGTGCTCCCACTGAGGTCCTGAAGGGAAAACCACGCTGAGCAGTCAGTGACTCCGAGCTACACAGTCCAGGGGATCGCTGTGACCTTCAGGACCAAGTGGAAGCAACAAAACGAGAATAAAGATGCCTTAAGTTGAGAAAAAACCATCTTTAATTTTATAAATGTTCACTCAACTTCTGAATCCAAACAGCTGTTTCAAAGTTCTTTCAAAATTCAACCGTTTTCAACAAAAGCACAAACCCCATTTGCACGGTTTCCTCGAGAAACAGTTGCACATGAACAAAGCAGGTAAATACAAATAACTATGAAATCAGGGTAAGTACTGATCCTAAGTAGCAATGAAATGATTAAAGAGACAGAAGTTCCTCCTACAGCACGACAGTCCTTCAAGGCACTGGATGCATCCACAGTTCACAGGGTGACTGAGAACCAGCAGTCACCACCAGCACTGGGGCAGGGGTTGGGTTCATGGCTGGAGGGGAATCTGCAGCAAATCTGAGAGGGAATGTCCCTGGGAGGCAGCTCCTGGTACGGGCTAAGAACTACAAAGAACCTCTAACCGTGCCGTGAGAAGGATTATTTCCAAAATACAGACATGCACTTTAAATAACTAACGTTCTGCTCCTTGCTCTTTTGGAATTTCTGCTAACACCACCTGTACCAGCACTGAGCACGCTTCCTAGGCGAGTTCCTGCAGGAATTCATTCCTTCCACCCAAGAGTTTGAAAACCATTGTCCAGACCCAGATCATTAAACTTCTTCTGAGGGCCAAACCGGAGCGTGGCCAAAGGTTGGGCTCCATTTCCTCGGGGGTCTTCTCCAACTTGGGCCCCCCCAGAGGTCAGAGTCCCCAGGAGGCTCCGGCCCAGCTGTGCCCAGCTGTGCCCAGCTGTGCCAGCTGCCAGAAGAAGCTTTCCCTGTCAGGTCTGCCCCCGGCGAGGAGGCCGGGGCGCGGCTCACAGCGCGGTGCTCTCCGTGTCGGTGTCCATGTCCAGCAGCAGGTGGTTGTGCAGCTCTCTGCCCGCCGGCTCTGCAGGAAGCTCTGCGGGAGGGTTTGCGAGTGGCTCTGCAATACTGGGATTAGAGTCTGCACAAAAAGGGAACAGCAAGTTTAACCTCAGCTCACTGGGTCGGGAGCTGCCGGGCATCTCCTCAGACACAGAAGGGAGAGCAAAGGGCAGGGAAGGCTCCTGGAGCAGGGCTGCCCCTGTGGGCACACAGGGCTGAGCCCAGCTGAACAGCTCGGGCTGCTGCTCCTACAGAGCCTGCCTGAGCCCTGGGCACAGCAACAGCCCTCCTCCCTGAAGGAATCTGATTTAGGCTCTGATTCCTCAATGCCCCTCGAGAGCTACTCCCGACTTTCGTGTCCAAACACTCAGCAAAATGATTTGGCACCTAAATCATCCAGCAGGGAGCACCACCTGTGACTTTGAGAAGCAACAGGAACAAGGATGGTGTCAAAATGAGGCAGAAGTTATTTACACCAAGTGCAGATTAAACCTCTCTCCTGTCATGGTTTTTGCCTCTTCTGGGGAGAGGAGGATTTTGTTCAAGACAAGGTGTCCAGAAAGGACCACAAAATGCTGCATCTCTGGTGACTGACTGGCCTGGCAGCTAGAATTATCAGACCAGAAAAATCCCCAGCAGCTCAAAAAAAGGTAACTGAAAATCTTGCAAGGATTTTGGAAAGCTGATTTACAACATGCCGTGACATCCCTTACTGCAGTCCAGCAGCTGCTCCACATAGGAAGTAATTTAGATCACTTAGATCAACAAAAAATCCAAATAAATGCCTTGTTTTCAAGCACAGGAGGTGCAGACAGGCATCCTAGAGAGACTGGGACTCATAACTCAAGCATGACATCCTGAAGTTAACCCAGAAGTTACTGCAGAAAACTCAAGTTGAAGGTTTCTGAGCTAAATGACCTGGAAGAGGGGACTCAGGCCCTGAGTGCAGCCTGCCCTGCTCCTGAGCCCCCAGAGCCCAGCAGCCTGCAGGGATCTGTGTCCTGGGCTCCTGCACGGGGCAGCTGCAATCCCACCTGGTCTGGCACCGAGCAGGAGCTCCAGGCACAGAAGCCCAGGATGGTTTGTGCTGGAAGGGACCTGACATCCCACCCCACCCACCTCTGCGTGGGCAGGGACACCCCCAGGGCCCCAGCCCCTGGAGCAGGAGCTCGGGGGGGCTGTGGCATGGGGAGAGAGGGGCACAGGGCAGGGCAGTGACAGCGGATCCAGCAGGAGCCCTGCATGGGACAGAGCAGCTCTGGTGCCCTGGACAGAACAGTTCTGGTGTTCTGTACAGAACAGTTTTGGTGCTCTGGACAGAACAGTTCTGGTGTTCTGGGCAGAACAGCTCTGGTGCTCTGGACAGAGCAGTTCTGGTGCTCTGGACAGAACAGCTCTGGTGCCCGTACAGAACAGTTTTGGTGCTCTGGACAGAACAGACAGAGCAGTTCTGGTGCCCTAGACAGAGCAGTTCTGGTGCTCTGGACAGAACAGTTCTGGTGCCCTGTACAGAAGTTTTGGTGCTCGGGACAGAGCAGTTCTGGTGCTCGGGACAGGCAGCACAGGGGAGAGTGGCCAGGGACAGCAGGAGCCACATTCTGCTCTCCAAGGCTTTAGTGGGTTAATGGGAGCAGCAGCAGCCCCTCTTGGCCATGCTGGGGACACACACACAGAGCAGGGCACTGGGGGGGGGGGGGGGGGGTTAGTAGTTAGCACACACATCATTAGTAATTAGCAATTAGCAATTAGCAACAGTGGCGGCCAATCAGGGGCCTTTTCCTTACCATTGCACTTGCCAATACAGTTCCTACTGAATGCTGGTCAAACATCTGGATTATTTAATAAAACCTTTGATTAGAATATTCTAGGGCTTCTCACTTGAACACCATAAATAGAATTTGAGGCATTACTAAAGCCCAGTACAGGGACAAAGGAGTCAATAGTATCCTGAGGACAGGTCAGAATTCAGGGATCATTATGAGGTTTGCTGGCACCTTAATTTTGTTCCCTCATTCCACTTGTTAAGGTTCAAATTAAAACCAGCAGCTGCACATTGTGAATTAGTGAGTCTGTAAGTGCTGGTATGTGCAGGTGTGAATATTAGAGCAGACACTCTTAGGTGCAGGTGGTGGTGTTAATTCAGATTATTAATCCTTTAAAAACACATTGCTCTGGAAAAGGTGGATGCTTTAGCATGGAGTGTACTGCTGGAGGTGAGCCTGAGTGTCACTTCAACCCCTCCCCAAGGGGATTTTAGCTAAACAGGCTGGATCTTCTAGGTCCCTTCACCAGTTTTGGAGAGAATCCTCCCTCAGCAGCTTTCCTCTCCCACTTTTCCTGTGTGGCAGCTCCCATACTGTGTTTACAGCACACACCTGGGCCAATTTGCTCTGGTTTGCAGTTCCCTCTGGCAGGTGCTTGCTGTGCCCAATTCTAATGAAGCAGCCCCAGCTGGATGTTAATTACAAGATAAGGATTTCTCCCATTGCACTGGGGTAAAACAAACCCTCCCTGTCTGCTAGCATTGAAGCAATTTCCTCAGAACCAGGAAAACCCTAAAACGAAAATAAATATGGTCAAACTATGAAACACTTGGAAATTTAGATTAAGTCTTCCCTTGAAGTTTGATTCACTAGCACAGCTGCTGCTGCTAGCTTCATTTAAAGTGCTGTCAAGATTCAGAGCCCAGCCTCACTTCTGACTTCAGCTTGGGAATAAATTACCCTCATATTTTAAATATACTGACAAAAGTACAATCAGAAGTCACTTATTTTAAAAATCAAAGCTACTTTTCAGTTGCTTAAGCAGCTCATTAACTGCAGGTTTCTCCATGGAATCCTATAATGGGCAGGGACACCTCTGACTGTCCCAGGTTCCTCCAAGCCCCCCCAGCCTGGCCTTGGCCACTTCCAGGGATCCAGGGGCAGCCACAGCTGCTCTGGGCACCTCCTTCTCGACTAACAGAAACCCCAAACCTGAATGACTTCCAGCCTGAGCTCTCAGTCCAAGCCTGGTTTCAGCCCTGCTGCAGAGAGGCAAAGCCTGGAAAGCCTGGCAGCCCCGAGTCCCCAGTGCTCCCTGGGGAGGCAGCAGCAGCCCCCAGGCAGTGGGGCAGCACCCCAGGGCCCCCCAGCCCCACGGGGATGGCAGTGGGGTGTGCAGGAGTGGGGCTGAGCAGCAGAGCCAGCAGGGAGCCTGGAAGGTGCCACGGTGCAGGGGCTGCTCTGCCACGGGCTCGGCCACATCAGCCTGGGTTTTGCCAATAAAACTCGCAGTGGCTAAAAAGAACTGCAAAGCTACAGTGAGAGCTACATTAAAACGTAACCAAACCACCAAACTGTAGGAAAAATCCTATTTTCCTGCACTGAGGAGAAGAAACCTGCTGGAAACGGGTCACCCCTCACACCTGACTGGGGACTAACTCTGGGGGTGGTGTGAAGGGTTAATTCTCTCCAGGGACTTAAGGGACAACTGAATGCTCACTGCAGCAGAGGCTTGAGCCCCCTTGCAGGCAGAATGCTGTGCAGGGATGAGACACAGAG